ACTAACTTTACCATAACTTTTTTTGTGACACCCTGTATATAACAAAATATTTTAGGATACACCCCTTTATAAACTTTGAAACATATGAATAAAACTTTTTTCACATCTTCGACAACGACGACGATATTGAACTTCCTCGCACTAATGGGTCACCCTGTATTATATGGTTTAAAGCTAGGTGTGGCACTTTTCTTCCCTCAAATATAAACTCAATATTTTGTTTATAATATTTTGAATATTGTTATATTACGACCACTTATAATAAAAAATAAATAAAAAAACATAAAAAAATACAGTCCACTAAATTTATAAGAGATTATGCTATTATAAAATTCTTTCAATTAAAAAATATGAATAATTTGCGGAGACTTTAGATGTACAAAATATTTACTCTAAAACTGTTTCAAAAACCAATTTATATAAATTATCTCGTAAATTATTATTGGAATGAAAATTTTATGGAAAACCCCTGACCAAAAAATATTTTCATGCGCATATTTGAGACAAACTGTATCTCTAAAAAACTATTTTTAAAATCTGCCCATATGCTAAAAAAAATAATAACATTTAATTAATTACATAATATCTCAGCCTCTAAAATAAACAAATATAATTTAATGTTAATTGATAATTACTTGCCGATTTACATCCGATGGAAATCTAAAAAGACTCAAAGAACAATTTTTTGAATTATTTCCACAGCAGCGCACAGTAAGGCACTCATTTTTTGTCAATCCGTCCCTGTGCTCGGACGCAACGCTCGAACCTCACAGCTCGACGGACCGAATTCAACTGAAACGCTATGCAACCTGCCGATATTCGACAGCTTGCAAAAACTGGCAGAAAATATTTGCGAGAGTGCAACTACTGTTTTCCTTAAACTATGTCGTTACTGTCTTTTTCAAAAGCGAATATCTCCGATAAAAATAAAGCTATTGAGATGAATGAAAAAACAAACTATTGAGAAAAGACGTATCTAAATAATAAAATAATTTTTAAATTATTCCTTGTATCCTTGTTTTGTTAATATATTCCACAGGCTGCTGGTTCAAAGTTTCACCAAAATATCAACATTTTGTTATCCCTCGTATAATTGACAGACGGGAACTTTCATATTTAATTTAGAAAGGAATACTAAAAAGTCAAATAATTTAGCTACAAATTTCTTAAAAAATCATCCAAATCGGCCCGCTAGAACAAAATTTATAAAACTTTAAAATACATCAAAATTTTAATGTGCCCGTATGTTTTTTTGACACTGCCTAAAAATACTACACTTCTAAAACTGTTTATAGTTCTTAAATGCGGCCAAACATATACTTTACCAAAATGTATTTAGTACTTTACAGGTACATTATAGTATTTTTTCTGTACAATTTTACATAATATATTTTTACTAATTTTACTATACAAAAAAACGACTATAAGATATATTTTATACAGAAACTATAAAATAATACATATACATAATTAAAAAAATATATTTTTCTCGAGACAGTTGTTAATAGTAGCTGTCATTTGACCACGAATTATTTTTACCGTTAAAAAGTGCATTTAAAGAAAAATCTTGTATTTTAAAAATAAAAATTGTTGAGTACTATTTTGGCTTTTATTTTGTTCTAAATTTAAGGGTTTAAAGAGAGATAAAAGGTAAGTGTTCGGAAAACAAATTGAAAGAAAATAGGTTATGTCGTAGGTTTTCGTGTGCCCTAACCTAGAAACGAATCGCTTTTTCTTAGGCTTCTTAACAGTTATATTTTGCAGGCCATAGTGGACACAGCGCAGGTCTACGGTATGGGTCTGGACCTTAGATCCGCAGCTTATATTAATTCAGTGCAAAAAATATTTACCACTACCACTACCGCTGGCCTCACATTCTAAGGGCTGACGACTTTGTTCATTCTAACCGGTAGAATTTTTTTTATGTGGTGTGCTGTGTGCGGTGCATTTTTTTGTTTTAATCCAAACACGTAACATAACCTACCTTAGTAGTAGATGTTTTATTAATGGGTTTGGTTTTTTTGTACTACTCGTATTAAATCAGTAATGAAATAAAAATTAAGTGAGACAATTGGGTTGGATATACATTTCATGCATATTTTGTTTTGTATCACTAGAATCTAACATATGAAAGAGTAAAATTATTAATAACTCTTGATTGCCTATTAAAGCTTTGATTGTCTAATTTTTAATAGTATGTGTAGAAATTAAAATATGGGAAAGGTTTCTAGAGGGAAGAATAAAATATATAATCTGAAAATACAGGAATGACTTCTATACTTCCTATCATTACAGTTAATTTTCAAATTATTTTATTTTTTGCTCATTAATGACAGGATAGTACTATGTGAACAAAACATAGACTTAAACCGTGGATTGAAAGAATAGGGAAGATAGCAACCTAATGAGCGAATTCGTGACGGATGATTTGATTCCCCCTGACGTCTCAAGTGCTGTACGGTGGAGCCTCTACTCGTTGTGCTGCCAACGCATAATTTTCTCCAACAACACTCATTTTCTCTAATTCGGCTAGTGAAGGCATATCGAAGACGGTGTAGAACTGAAAGCGACATTGTTGCCATATTAAAATATGTAATATCTGTAATAAGTTTAACGAAAATATCTTTGGATGAAAAATCCGCATTTATGTATTGAAAATTTATTCGTGTTAAATATAGAATAAACAACAAAAATAAAAATTCTTTTATAGGTACTGAATATTTGGTATGATCGAAAAGAATCGTTTAATTGAATTGGAAATGAACTATTGACATTTACCATAATATTTTACATATGAAATAACAGCGATCTTCAATTTCAAGCCAACTCTGACGCCGTTCTTTGTTTAATCATATAATATTATATTAAATGGTTTAATGATCCGTATTAGTAACGCACAGTACCGAAAAGTCTCCCCCTCTGGCGACTGAAAATAGAAATACGGTTCAGTATTCTTTATTCGCTGCGCTGTAAACGAACATCAGCGTGCAGCGGTGCAGAGCTAAACTAAATCTCGGACATATAACGGTAACGCCAGCTACATATCAGACATATTTTATGCCACGAAATCGTCCATAAGGTTGCGTATCTTCTTATTTCTTCATTCAACGCTTAAAGCTATAACACCCATGGCTATTGTGCACCGTGTTCTAAAAAATCTCTAACTGGGTGTTTTAAAATCAAATGAATACTTGATAGAAGAACGTGAGCTGCATGCTAGGCACTTTGTGGAGCAAGTTATTTATTTTCAATCATATTATATTATGATTTTGGCGCCCCTTGAAACTGCAGCCCGGGGCTTGTGTCGGGGCGTGTCCCTCCTATATATAAGGTGAGTATTAAATAAGTGCAAATATTTTCAGGGCTGGTAGATCACGATAAAAGAAACATATTTTCTCTTTAACGTTTTACGGCCAAAATAACCGAGTTATTACTGTTTGTTGTTACTTCAAAAATTTCCAAAAAATATGATTTTTTGCTTAAATTTTGAGAACCGCTGGATCTTTTCTGGATATTATTTCTTGTAATTTAATCTACTACCTATGTGGCCATATTATCAAGAAATTATGTTTTTTAATTAAAAACTTAAAAAAAAAATCCAAAATTTTTTCAAAAAATTCTAAATTTTCAAAAAAAAACTCATAATCGTGTTTCTAGGTCGAAATATACTACCCCTAAAAATATTTGCACTTATTTAAGACTCACTCCATATCTAGAAAAACAATAATTATTAATTATTGTTCCATTTTGTATAAAAAATATCGAAAAATACTGAAATCATGAAGGAAAGAAATAAAATTTTGTATGCACCACGTTATGATAATACCCATCGCGTGACAAATATATTTCTTCTGGTCCTCTGTGAATTATAAGCCAATATAACTGATAGAATAAACTTAAATAATTGTATTGCCGCAAAATAATTTTAATGATAAACGAATTACCATTTTTTGTCTCCAAATTTGAGAGGTGTTTGCTACTAGTTAAAAATTACTAAAAATTTGTTCCATACTAGGTGTCTAGTCTAAAAACGTCCAAATAAAGTTTTAACATGCTGTCAGATATTTTTTTTTGTAATTTAGTAATGGCTTAATTGATTATTCATCTGATAGAAATATTGACATAACAATATAGGTGTATAGTGATTTATTACTACAAGACTGAGATTATATAGTTCATATCAAATAAACTTTTAGTCACGTGATTAAGCTTGACCGGCACAGCGTTGCTCACTTTTACATATTTTCTTTTAATCAAAATATTTTAGGAAACAAAAATAAATTAATTATAAATATATAAACAGTTATTATTTACATCAACAAAACTCACCTTCTTAACAGCACTTTTAACTTATAATAAATAAATAAATAAAAATAATAAATAAGGGACATAAAGGGCCATTACAATCCCTTTCCCGTCCAAAATATTCGAATAAAGTTGCCGATGAGTTTTTTACGGATATTAAGCTATCTGGTACACTTCGCACTAAAAGGGGTTCTAAAAAGAACAATGTTCAACTGCAAGGTCTCCTAGTAAACATTTTTAAGCTTAAAGTATCACAACATTATATTTATTTAAACCAAAAACTCGTAATACAAAACGAAAGTGTCTAAATGAATATGCCCATGGTTGGTAACAATGAATTTAAAAATCGCGCCCTTGATTACGTAACTAATAGTTTAATTGGTATCAAATATATGTTGAGTTTTCTATTGACTTGTAATAATATACATCCACTCATATCTTAACAACTTTTTTTAGCTTGTAACAACGTTGCATCATATTTAAATGTTTTATAAGAAAAAGAAAGTATATCAAAATTACAAACAAATTTATAGGCAACATAGGCATACAATCCTACCTTTAAAATATAATTTATTTCTCTTTATCTGGCGATAGAAAATATTTAATTTTCTTTTTCGAAGTAAATATAATAGTTGTCTTGTTTTTTCTCAAAAGAGGATACCTAGAACAAAAATAATAAATTAAACACTTTTTAGGCCATTATGAGGACAGCGCAACAGTACAACTTGGGCATGGACCTGAGGTCTGCCGCTTACATCAATTCCGTGGAAAAAATCTTTATTACAACCACAACGGCCGGTTTGACATTCTAGTGTGGATACTACATCATCGAAACACGTTTATTCATAAACTACACGCAAAAATCGAAATTTTGGCAACATCGCTGTATCAAATATGTTTCGGTGATTCCCAACTTCGTCTATACGCTTCATAGAATAAACATAATTTTTTACTTGATGCAAAATTTTATTTTTATTCTATGCTTAAGTTACGAAATAACCTAACATGATTTAAGAGTACATAGAAAGAAGTATTTTAAAAAGTGTTGTTTGGGTACCACTGGAACAAACATGCATTGTTGCCGAATTATCTTCTTCAAATATTTTATGGTTCTATTAAAAAATATTCATTATATAAGGTTTTAAGGTTATGATATTCATGATCAGAAAATTATTGTGAAGTACTATATAAAATAAATATCCTAAAAATAAGTTGGTTTTATTTTTGAATCCCTATATTTTCACCGTAAATGTTAAGAAGAAAGTATGAGGTATAATCTCTAAATAATCTACTCTTTAATAAAAATTACCGACAATAACTGTCATACTTTCCCCCCTTCGCTGAATAGACTATACTCCTTCCTTTTCATCAATGACTATTACAAGACTATACTACAGGGTGGCGCGAACTGTATTCTGAAAACTGAGCATATTCTGCAAATAAAAATAAGTAAAAAAGTTCGTATAAATGTATGTCCTAAAATGCTTAGTTTCGGAGATACAGGGTGTAGAAGTTTCATTTTTATTTCGATTTTTTCCAAATAATTTCTGAACTAACGTCAATATTTGGATGAAAATTGGTGTCTGGGAGTTTTTTGACATGAGAAATTTGATTTTGATGTCAATATGATTCCTACTTATACAGGATGCCACCTACATATTTTTTAACTGGTTTGAAGGGTAATAACTTTTCGTCCGTACCTGTATAAAACTACTGAGTAAAAAAATATACATTTAAAACGTTTTTTACATAAAAAAGGTCTCTTGGTAAAAATAGCTACGAGTAATGGTCCTCGTGATATTTTGAATCGAAATTATCAATACCTGTCATCATTGACATAAACATGTTGACTAAATAGTTATTAGACTGAAATCATCAATTTGAAATGTTTTTGAGCCAAACGTTAAACAGGAACTGTTTTATCATCATTTTTTCGAAGAAAAATTTATGATTATTTGAAAAAACCAAAAGTTCCAAAATTTATCATTTCACTCAAATAATTACTCAACATATTTATTTTTGTCGATAATGACATGTATTGACTATTTCCATTCTAAATATCTTGAGAACGGTTGCTGGTAGCGATTTTTATTAAGAGGAATTTTTTACGTAGTAAATCACGGAAATGTATAAACCAGAATTGTATAATCCAGAAAGAGATCAAACGTTTTCAAATATATTAGAACTAAATATTTTCAAAGACAAACAATGAATATATTTATACCGACGAATCACTTGGGGTCGAAATACCGTATGATGAAAAAAATAACGGCGTCCAGTTTGGCTTGGAAATGTACATCGGTGACATTCCCCATATAATTTTACATATAAAGTGACAGGGATCTCCATTTCTTAGCTATCGCTAACGCATTTTTTTTTGGTCATACGGTATATGTATATTTCATTTATACAGAGTCGGCAAGAAAGTGTCTTGTTGGAATTTGCATATTCAGTGACGCCTCTAGAGATTGGGTCTGGGATTGGGTCTGGGAGGGGTCTGGGAGGTCGACAGTATTTAAGTATAGTATTAAGGTTTAAAGTATAGTATTAAGGTTTAAATTTTTAAATTAAATTTGCGATGAAAAATATTGTGACAGGTCTGGATTTTCTATTTTGATTGGTTTTATAATTTTTTTATGTGGAACTGTTTATCTTATACCACATATTACCTTATTTATAAATTTCTTCCTGGGATGGGTATTATTCCCATTAACCTTCCCGTATATGAACCCCTGTACTACTAAAGAGAATAGGATGAAATACAATAAGTAGTAGTGAACAAAGAGTTCACTACATGTTATTGAAATGAACACATTGACGATTGATTTTACTTTTCGTATACGCGAAAATTGGCTAGCGGAAATAACCTAAGCTAGTCTTTGCCGGCCTTGTATATGTTGGAGGCAGATGCCGAATTCGGCCTATGTCCGAAATGATTAGACATATGGCGATTATAATTAAATATACCTACCTATATCTACAAAATTACGCGGAAGAGTTTTGATTGCATTGGTTTCAACTTCTATGCGGAGGGTGTTAATCTTTTGTTGTTATATTATACAAATACTTTATTATACCAAAAAAAGATTAACCCCCTCCGCAAAAAAGTTATATAAAGACTATTTATAACCACGCAGTTGCACGCATCTGGCAAGTTTAGTATGGACAAATCGCCATAGGTCTATATAATTATTTCGGACATAGGCCAAATTCGGCATCTGCCTCCAACATATACAGGGTTGTTCACCACATACGACACGGAGTATTGTAGCTAAACGATGAGATTTTTACAAATTGTAAGTTTTGGGTTCGTTGAAGGATTATTAGAGCTACAATTTAAAAATATTTTTAAAAGATACAGAGTGTCCCAACTAAGTAAAAAGTATTATAGTTGTATTTTTTTAAATGGAACTCCCTGTATATTATTCTATTTTTAGATTCTACGATTAAAATAAAGGTAAATTTGATTAAGGTTCATCATACTTAAACCTTACCGTTTTTGAAATATTTTCAATTTTATGAAATTGCAGTAAAAATTTTAAGGCTTCATTTCTCCAAGGGTATCAAAGTTTTTAATACTAAATATTTACTGAAGATTATTTATTGACCAGATATTGTGTTGCAATAATAAAAATTTACTACCTTATACAGAGTGTCCAAAAATGTATATTAAATAATTACTAGCTTTAAACGGCAATAGTGTGTTTAATTTAAATGGAACACCCTATATATTTTGCGTCAATCAGATGCACAATGTAATTGTCTATCAAATTGTATTATACAATTTTTTACCTATCTCTTCAAGTTTTCGTAGAAAATGCATTTTCTTATAATTTAGACCTCATTTATCACTATACCCATGGAATATTGACATTTTAGATTATTTTTAAAGATGTAACAAATTTTCCAAGAGTACAGATACTAATATTGTCGATATAGCTCGCTTATTTCATAAAAAAAATTAAAAAAACTGTTTAAATATTTTTGTTAAGAGGACCAATTAATATGATCCCAGTATTCAAACTACATTGACTGTTTACGTTGATTAATAATAATTGCCCCAAATACTGAAAAACTGAATTTTCTGTGTGTATTAGACAGTGTGGTAAAAAGTAACGGCCTTATAAATTTTATTTCATTTTTTGACGAATGCTGATTTATAAAAACAGACGTTTATTTTCATAATTTATTATTATATTGATTTCTGAGCCAAATCCACATTTATTTAGAATACTTTATTAATTAAAACAATTTAAAAGTATGTAATTAACTAATTTTTGGTCGGAAATAATGGTGGTATATTTAATTCGTATACTCTTTTATAAAGATTTAAATAGTTTTTTTGGTATACCAATAGGCTTGCAATATTTACCACCTGTACATTTTGTGCATATATGTTGCTTAAAAAAAATCTGAAATGTCAATATTCCATGGGTATAGTGAGTGATAAATGAGGTCTAAATTATAAGAAAATGCATTTTCTACGAAAAGTTGCAGAGATAGGTAAAAAATGGTATAATAAAATTTGATAGACAATTAAATTGTGCATATGATTCACGTAAAATATACAGGGTGTTCCATTTAACTTAAACACGTTATTGCCGTTTAAAGCTAGTAATTATTTAATATAAATTTTTGGACACTCTGTATAAGGTAGTAAAATATTTATTATTGCAACACAATATCTGATCAATAAATAATCTTCAGTAAATATTTAGTATTAAAAACTTTGATACCCTTGGAGAAATGAAGCCTTAAAATTTTTACTGCAATTTCATAAAATTGAAAATATTTCAAAAACGGTAAGGTTTAAGTATGATGAACCTTAATCAAATTTACCTTTATTTTAATCGTAGAATCTAAAAATAGAATAATATACAGGGAGTTCCATTTAAAAAAATACAACTATGATATTTTTTACTTATTTGGGACACTCTGTATCTTGTAAAAATATTTTTAAATTGTAGCTCTAATAGTCCTTCAACGAACCCAAAACTTACAATTTGTAAAAATCTAATCGTTTAGCTACAATACTCCGTGTCGTATGTGGTGAACAACCCTGTATATAATTCATAACAGGAAAGATAATAGATCAATACAGGTAAAGGTAAGTAAGTAATTATTATTTAAACAAATGCTTCATACTTTTACCTTTCTTTACGACTTTCGACAGAAAAATCAAAGTTGACGTTATCAAATTTAAGAAAAAAACTGTTTGAAACAAAATTTTACAATGCTGTTAGTAAGAAAATCGAACACATCGCAAATCAGATCCATATCTCAGATTTCTAATAAGTATGCCAGGCTAAGCTACGAAATTCCGGAGAGATACCAGAACGCCTTCTATCTAGCGAATGCTGCGTTCTTTGACAGTACCAGCTGGTTTCTTCATAGGGCTTATGAAGTAGCATTTCCAGCATTAAAAAACGATTACAGGTTACTGAATTCATTCATTTTTAATAGTTCAGTCATTGGGGATCAAAAAAGGGGCCCGCTTGGAAAAAAGTCCGGAAGTTTTGAAACTTTGCAGGTTTATAGATTTTGGGGTCCCTAACTAAAATCCATAAAATGCACATTTCCAGACTTGCCGCCGGCGCCGCAATCTTGCCAAGATGGCGTCCAAAATCGGTATTTTGTGAATATCTCGAAAACTATGCGTTTTTCGCGAAAATTTGAGGGGAGCAAAATTAAAGAGATAACATTTTATAATTTTGCGTAAAATATGATATATAGTCGATTTTCCGAAATCAAATGTCGATTAGGGTTCACTAAAACTAGTTTTAGTTTAGTTTCTTCCATTTTGTCATGAAACAGTGGCGTATCATTAATTCGCTCATTAATTTATGAATAATTAATTGTCGTGCTGGACAGCATTCATTGGAACTTACCACCAGGTTCAGCATTGGTCTGGTTGTACCAAAGATGCCGAAGAATGGGGTTGGAAGAAAACAAAAACAGGCATTACTCCAGTCACAATAACGTTGAAAGATCCAGCTCCAAAATCCCTGTTGGCATTTTTATCCTGTAAATGCAAAACCAACAACTATGGTAAAGCCTGCGGATGCAGAAAAGCAGGATTAAAATGTTCAATGATTTGTGCATACTGTAATGGAAAATCCTGTGACAACGTCACTGAAGTGTCACTCGACGAATCCGATGAAGAGGAGTTGGACTTGCCTGTAGATATCCCTCTGGCGGCTGAAGATGAAGAGTTGGACGTATTGAGAGACCACCCTGATGAGCCCAGCACAGCAGACACGATCGACTTTGACATCAATGGGCCAGATCCGTCGGGCTTGTGCAGATAAGTTAAAGTTTTTAATTTATCTAGTGGAGTAGGCCTCCGGGGAGACCACGTTAAAATAAACGCGCCATATACTTTACCTCTTGGGTGGTGTGGAAACAAGTACACATTTTCAATAATTAAAATTAATTATTCATAAATTAATGAGCGAATTAATGATACGCCACTGTTTTATGACAAAATTGAAGAAACTAAACTAAAACTAGTTTTAGTGAGCCCTAATCGACATTTGATTTCGGAAAATCGACTATACACAATATATCATATTTTACGCAGAATTGTAAAATTTCCAGGGATTTTGTGCCTAAACGGTTGACTTAAGCGAAAATTTTCATGAAACCTTTTTTATAGGAAATTTTATTCTCTTTAATTTTGCTCTCCTCAAATTTTTGCGAAAAACGCATAGTTTTCGAGATATTCACAAAATACCGATTTTGGGCATCTTGCAAAGATGGCGGTGCCGGCGGCAAGTCTGGAAATGTGCATTTTATGGATTTTAGTTAGGGACCCCAAAACCTATAAACCTGCAAAGTTGCAAAACTTCCGGACTTTTTTCCAAGCAAAAATCCCCAATGACTGAACTATAAGATTTATATAGTATTTAGGTGATAAAAACGTGACTAAAATCTAAATAACGGCCTGTTTGAAGGGATTGGGATACATGTTGCGTTAATTTTAGGTCGAGGTTCAAAGACGAAGCAGTGGGTGATCGGAGGGTACACGAAAAACTTGAAAACGTCATAGAAGTCTTGGACCAATGTAATTCTATCATAGATGTTAGGTTCCCTATAAGAAAAGATGATGGAACTTTAGAACTAATCCGAGGTTTTCGAGCACATCACGGCGAAAATATCGCTAGAAGCCCTTGTTTAGGAGGTAAATGCAAGTTTAGGCTTGGTGCTTTTCAGTTGATTTTAAAAATTCCGACTACAGCGCTCGATCGGTAGAAATAATATTGAAATCGTGGCTTTGTCATAATATTTAAATCTTAGTTTTTAATAGTGGAGTTATTGAAACTATAAAACACTCAGCTACGAGGTTTGTGTGATGTAACGCTGTTTCGGGTAGTAAAAATTTAGTGAAAAAGAACCCGAACTTGGCGTCGCACAGTGGGGTATTTGACACAGTTGATCAAATTTTTTTTATGTAGACCTTATATAAATTATTGCTATTTTCAGTTAAAGAGGAAATAATATGAACAAAATAAAGGATAATTCGTCGATTCTAAAAAAAAAGAATCGATTCTAAAAAAAAAGAAAGAAAAATCACTGTTCCAGTGTTTCCACGGTCAATGCCACTAATACCAGTAGTAATATCGCAACTAATACTACTAATGCTACGACTGATCCGCGAGCAATGCCCATACCACTAATAAGTCGCTACTAATACCTAATTGTGCTATACTGCTAATGGCACTAATGCGATCGCTTTGTACACAACAATGCCATCGCGGTTTACACCTTCATTAGTATATCACTGGCACACAATTGGCAAATTAGAGGAAACCAAGAATGTTTTTCTCATTTTATCAGCAAAGTCGCAAAAAGTCGTAGTATTTTATTTTACTGTATGAAAGCCCAATGTTTACTAAGTAAAACGTATATAGACAATATGCTGAATTCTTCGAAATGCGCAACTAAATCTCTAAGTATAATAAAAATGTCATAAATTTAATCAAATTTTCTGAACGCCTAACTTTTAGTTGCAAAAAAAATCGTTAGTATAGAGAATATCAAAATAAATAATACGTTTATGTAGAATACATACCTGCAGCTTGCTGAGCCATTTTCAATCAAAACAATAATATAAACGTAAAAAGAGCACAAGAACAACAACAGTTTATAATTTTAAACATAAAATTGAGCCATTTCTTATCTGTGAGAAGTAACAACTTTGACGTTTCGTTGAAACAAATGAATGCAACTAAACACACCCATAGCAACGCCATTCATGGCAGACATGATTTAACTTATCATTTATCTTTTTTTGGAAAATCTTAAACACATTTGCTTTTTCGAATTTCGATCATCTTTTTCATGCTAAAACTCCACCGTGCGTCGCTTTGTGTTGTGACAATTTGAAATGTTAATAAAATTGTCGAAAAAATGTTAACACGTAAAGGAGGGCGTAATTACGTCGTTGTTGGGAGCAATAACATTCAATAACTCAACTTTCCCGGATATTCAACTCTCCTAAAACAATTTTTTTTATATTAATTTATTTCTTAACTCTATGGACTGAATAATAAATTATAATACAAGTTAGACCAGAAGATATTAAAATATTTACTTTATTTTTTTTAGAATTTTCACAAATTATACTTCCTAACACTTTTATTCTAGTTGTTTAAGATATTCTCCGATGGTGGCAGCACCGGCGGAGAGTGCACCAAGTCTTTTGCGTGTAGTCAAACCTTATGTATTAAAAAAATGAAATAAGATCTCAAAATTATACGTTTATTGAAAACACCAATTAGGAATCTACCATATTAGAAACTTTTCAGGATTGAGAATCGATGAAAACATTACTAGAGACCACATGAAAGCCTTGTCGCTGCTATCGACCATGAAGAACTGCTGTATGGGCATAGGAATGTCTGGAGCTCACGGGGGAATAAAAATAGACCCTAGAAAGTATTCGAAGAATGAATTAAGGACTATAGTGGACCTCTACATAACCGAACTATTCAACAAAGGATACTGTAAGCGTTTGGTGTTAAATAAAAATATAGATGTCAATAGAAAAATATATTTAGGTGGACATTTAGATGTAATACATCCAGATATCAATACCGGTCAGATAGAAATGCAGTGGATAAGTGAGAGTTTTGCGAAATGTTCGGGTAAGTTTTTTAAATTATTGTAGGCAAAAGACTGGACTACACATTTTCAGATCTAACAAAGACTCAATGTTTTTCTGCGAAAAGTTTAGAGTGATTTTTCTACCTTATAAATCTACTCATTTCAACTATATTTCGATCTCTTTAATATGCCAATTAGTACTTGGTGTTTTTCCTCTTTTCTAAAACGTTTATCTAGTACCATTGATGGTACATGTCAATTGATGCTAAAGCCCCGTTTAAATTCTTGTCCAAACTTTACTAAACTACTTGTGGAACTATCAAATCTATAAAAATTTCTATACCTATGTGGCGGATTCATCTAAACCAAGCCACTATAAGAAAATCTACAAAATAAAATAGTTATTTTTTGTAAACACTGACTGCTGCGTTAATCCAACGAAGACTAATTGTCAGCAGTGGTATACTAATGAACAAATTTGCCTAAAGGACAAAAAAAATGCTTAACGTTTCGGAAAGAAGGAATCTCTTGCCGTCGTCGGAAGTAAAAAAAATACAAAGAAGAAAGAAAAAAACTATTTAAAATATCTAAATATAAAAGTATCTAGATTTGTGAAAGTCGCCCTTAAATAATCTTTATGCTCTTTAATTCGAACTTTTAAGGGTCTAGATGTTTCACCAATATAGAATTTATCACATTCACATGGTATGTTGTATATGAAATCTATGTTATTCTAGGGCAAAATATGAATGTAGCAGCTGTCGGAAAACCGTTAGCATACGGCGGATTAGAAGACTACGAAAAAACAGCAGCACTTGGCGCGCTGAAAGCTTTGGACGTATTTTTAGAAGACGTCCCAACGATGGATTACATGAAATCCAACGTCGGTATGAAAAACAAAAAATTCATTATACAGGTGATGATATATTAAGTTTGGTTTTCTTGAAAATCGAGATTTCTCTGTAGGGTTTAGGGAAAGTTGGAAGACCTTTGGCGTTGATGCTAGTGGAACACGGGGCTATTTGTGTTGGAGTTAAGGAACAAGACGCGTATTTGTATGACTCTAAAGGAATAGACTTACAAGTTAGTTTGAATATTTGAATTAGGATAATACTAGTACCAGCAGGGATTATACCGTTTAATCGAAAAAAAAAAACGCGTCAAAGACAGCTGAAGAATGACAATCGATGATAATTTCTAGTGATGAAAAAAACCGATTCATTTCAATAATCGAGTACTCGAGTATCAAGCGATTGCAATAACCGAGTGATCACTCGAGCGAAATATCGCTCGTATTTAAAAAATACGGTTTTTCGTCCGTCGCCTGTTGTAAGTACTCGTTAACGCCAAGCGCCAAGCAGTAAGCTGCGTGCGCAGGGCACATATATGATTTCGGTAATGAACGGCAAGTAGTAAGTAGTAAGCGGCGAGCGATTCGCTTGATCGCCTGATTTAGTTTATGTCGAAGCATTGTCGATGTAGGTCGTAAAATTTTATCCCTCAGATACGCAATGGATAAATATACCGGGTGCGTCTCAAAAGTGGCTCACCCCTATAACTTTTTTTTATTTTTTTCAGATAAAACAACGAGATTTGGTATGTTAGTATATGACATAAATTAGGATTGATTGACATATTCAATTGTTTTCGGTCACTTCCGGTTTCACCGGAAATGACTGCAACTTTTGATTTTTAAATCGCACCCTCGGTATTGTTTTACTTTATTCGGTAGAAAATGACACTCTGAATAGAATGACATATCACATGTCAACTTTTGACATTTTCGCATATGGTTTATTTGAAATTGTAATATGCGGTTCATAACGACAATTTGACTCGAAGTACCAAGTGTGTGGTATCAAATTATTCGTAAAAAAATTATTTTTCGAAAAATGCTAATGAGCCACCGTCGTTCCATTTGAAAAAAATTGAGATATGATCAAAAATACGATTTGTGCATCTTTTAACCGGCCAGGGTAAGGCACTAAAAACATTAAACGATCAAATCTATTTTTCCAAGGCTCCTTAAAAAAATAGTGTTTTTAACACAGCCATGGCACTCTAGATTGAAATTTAAAATACAATTTGTTTTTAAGCGAATATGTCAAAAGTTGACATATGATACGTCATTCTATTTAGAATGTCATTTTCTATCGAATAAAGTAAAAAAAATACCGAGGGTGCCATTTAAAAACCAAAAATTGTAGTCATTTCCGGTGAAACAGGAAGTGACAGAAAACAATTGAATACGTCAATCAATCCTAATTTATATCATACATTAACATACCAAATCTCATTTTTTTATCTAAAAAAATAAAAAAGTAATAAGGGTGAGCCACTTTTGAGACGCACCCGGTATATACGGCGTCGTATAAATTTGCTACCTGCAATGTATGTAGAAAATTCGCTCGGCTTTTTATCGAGTATGTCACATTAAAATCGGATTTCCATTTATTTCATTCTGGGATCGCTTGCGTTCGTCGCTTGGTACTCGTCACTTGCATCGCTCGTTCATAATCGAGCGATGTCGATTATTTCAATAATCCACTACTCGAGCGAATTTTCGCTCGAGTTTTCCCATCACTAATAATTTCGCGAGATTGGTATCTACGCGTCGTTTCCTAAAAACTGACAAAAGTTATCAAAAATTGACAATAATTCAGGAGCACACTTACTAAATGCATTTTATCCATTTTTAAGATTTTCAACCAAGGTGGCATCGCAAACTACATACACAGAGTTACAATATGATGCCAGAAACGACGTGTTGTTTCACTTCATTTTATACCATTCGAATTGAATGGCGAAAATACCTTAGACTTTATATGTGCTGTATGTCCATTAGCGGTAGCAAAACAAACAGAAATATGTCCTTGTTAGTGTTGGGCAGAATCGTCTTTTTTGAGAATCGAGTACTGTGTATTCGAGAACTATCAAGGATCGAATACTTTTCCGAGTACCGAATACTCGAATTCAAAACTAACGTCAAGCCAGATTGCAGTGCTTGCCTGATCGTTATTCATAGAAAAGAGATATACTGATCGGTATTAATCATGATACAAAGAAAACAAGGTATGATCGATAGCGGCTCCAATTTCATTCAGTTTGCGCATATCATCTGTGACGTCACTAAGCCATATAAAAAATCCATATTGTTCAATTGCCACCCGTGATTGCAACTAATAAAAAAATACATAAAATAGGGAAGAATTAGGACATAACCACTAAAGTTATGTCAAATCCTCATAATATATTTGGTCAAATCATTGAGGTTGACATTTGAAAAGCTAAAGGCGTGAACTCGTAATCGCAAAAATCCAGTTTCGAATTCACCGGTGACCGAAAATTTCAGACTCGGACACGAAAGTAGTAACGCGTGTCATATTTACTTTAAATTTTAATAATAATAATAATACTCGTTGGTATTCGAGTACCGGATCGCGAGTACTCGAGTTCAACGAGTACTTTGAAGAATCGAGTAAGTATTCGATTCTTATACTCGAGTACCCCATCACTAGTCCTTGTGTACTGTGGACATACTGCTGTTTGTTTGTCATGCTAGATGAATTTTTTTTTGTACTACAACTTCTATATTTTTTTATTAATACTACTTAAAATAATGAATAGAACTACGACTGTGGACACTGTCGACTATGTAGTTGGGGCTACAGACCGCGGACCGTGGTAGCAGAAAAATAAAGAGAAATTTCACGCCTAAAGCGGCCCATATATTATCAAACAAATTGCGCAACGTTGCGTTGCACAACTGATTCAGCGGTCCATACATTATCAAACAAGTTGCGCAAAGAAGCGATGCGCAACGTTCCGTTGCACAACTGTATCACCCATGCACTTAGTAAAATTTTGATCAAACTTTTTATTAAAACTTGTGCATTGTTTGAGAAACAATCATGTCCTCAATTGCCATTGCGTCATTTATTATCGTATATACCCTAGATGATTTCAATGATACCAAAAAACGAAAAAGAAAATAAAGAATTTGGATGAAAGAACTAAAATAGTGCACAACGAAGAGCAACACACACATACACTACGCAACGCGCTCCGCAAACGCCTGTTGCTCAAAAGAATTCAAACATTCTTGAAACTTATCAAACAATTGCGCAACGCATCAAACGTTACCATACATTGGCAACTCGTTGCGCAACAGCTTGCGTTGCGCAATTTGTTTAATAATGTATGGGCCGCTTTAAGGACAGTCAACATTTTTTTTTATATTTTCAGATATCATCAAAACTAGATTTTTCACATGTAGGTGTACTATTTTTATGATTTTTTATCCATTTTTCAAAGATACTAGTTTTTCGGTAAGTTTCTTGCAAAAAGCGTGGCAGTGTTTCTTTGTTTGTTTACCAAAAACATTGGCGTAACCACAGGGGTCCCCGGGGGTACTGCTGGGCACCCCTCAGAGAAATCCTGAATTATGACTCTTGGCTACGTATTAATTTTAATTTGCTTGTGATGCAGTAAAAATGACGTTTTCTAGTTTTGTTTAGTTAATATTATTTTTTTTTGTTCAAAAAATGTGTTAATTTTTATTTTTTAGAAAATTTGTAGGTATTTAAGTAATCTACGGGAACACGGTTTGATAACCAAGTCTATGAAATTTAATGATAGAGAAATTCATGTAAACGTTTTATTCAAAAAATGTGTTTTTTAAATGATTTTTCATTTTTAAAAAAACAAAAGCCCTAGGCCCCCCTGGGCTCAATCCAGCCCCCCCCCCCATAGGCCCACCCCAGGATAAATTGCTAGTTACGCTAATGACCAAAATTCGAAAAAAATGCATTTAGAAAGTCCGCTCCTCAATTATTATAGAAAGATTAAAAAAGAATAAAACTTTTTTGGATTTGTGCTACACCATTTAAAAACCATTGTTACTCAATATAAAAATAAATTACAAGCTTATTAGGGCCAACCGGCCAATAAACACTATTAGAAAATAAAAAAGAGTACCTTAGACAAAAGAGTACGGACCAAGTTTGACGTCTAGGGCTTGAAATCGCCAAGATTACCATCGATTGTCATTCCCCCGCCGCGCCGTCTTTGACCCCATTTTTTTTTCGATCGTGCGATATTAAGAATATTTAATGATTGTCATTATACAGGGGTCCCGTAACAGTGCGCCGGGCATCTGTAGCTTCTAGAATAGAACCCCTGTATATTTCAACTATGATTTTTAAAATTAATCTTCAGACTATTTAAAAAGAAGTAGAAAAAAGACTCAGTCTCGGTCTCAACATTTATATTAAATTACACAGTGACACGTGTTTCGCTCATACGAGCATCATCAGACAAAAACAATCAAACTCAATCCACAAACACGTTCACATTTTACATATTAAAACAACACTCTAAGTGTCATTGACTTTGATTGCTTTTGTCTGATGATGATCGTATGAGTGAAACACGTGTCACTATTCAATTTAATATAAATGTTAGACCGAGACTTTGAGTCTTTTTTCTACTTCTTTTTAAATAGTCTAAAGATTAATTTTAAAATCATGATTGAAATATACAAATTATCATAGTACAAATATACAAGTCTCGGTCTTTGAGTCTTTTTTCTACTTCTTTTTAATTTAAACCAGGTCTCTTTGAGAAGAATGAACGCCTTCTTTAAATTTAGACACTGAAAAAAATCACTAAATAAACACTAAAACCGCATTTTGTCACTTTTCAAAGCTTTCAACTATACGAATTATTGAATTGAAAAAAATACTCTCAGATAGATTTTTTAGTAAATTTTATGCTCTACAAAGAATCCCAATAAAAAATAATAAAATGTTATGGTACTTCTAATGGAATTTTTTTTACGTGTTATTTAAATGGCAAACTTTGAATATTCACCGACACCACTTAAAATTGAGCTAAAAATCCTGCCTTCCAGAGATATTTTTTCTCGGTGTTAGGTTCATTCTAACCCATAAATTCCATAGAATAGTTTTTTTGGCTCACACTACTGAACATTCGATATAAAAATAAATATTTATAGGAATTACTGAAACACAAAGATGAAACAGGCTCCATAGAAAGATACAAGCTAACCAAAACGGACAATCCCGACTCAATTTTCAAAGAAGACTGCGACATTTTGGTCTTGAGCGCTTGTCATAAAAGTTTGGTATGTTACGTTGCTAGGGAAGTCAAAGCGAAAATAATTCTAGAGGCTTCCGGTAAAAATAACGCTATTACAAAAATTAGGGACAATTGTTTAAAAAGAGACTGTTTGTAGATGGACCTACGACGCCTACAGCTCATAAAATACTGACTACCAAATCAAAATTAGTAATTCCCGATATCTACGCCTGTTCTGGTTCCAATGTAGCATCGTATTTGGAGTATTTGAGGAATTTGCAACAAATGGGTGTACGAGAAGAGACAATTTTAAAGTGAGTGTAAAGAATAGGAAATTAGTAATTTGTAATGGGGAACTTTCCTAAAAAAATAAATTAAGTTTTATTTGATATTGTGGTGAACTGAAAAAAATGGATACGTGTTTTTTAATTTTCTCCTAGTTCAATTATTTCGAAAGTTACAAGAGTTTTTGTTTTTTATATGTATGTATATACAGGGTGGTCCGAACTGTATTCCGGAAACTTCAGCAGCATATTCTACACATAAAAATGAGTAAAAAAATTCGTATAGATGTATGTCCTAAAATGCTTAGTTTCGAAGATACAGGGTGTAGAAATTTCATTTTTATTTCGATTTATTCCAAATAATTTCTGAATTAACGTCAATATTTGGATGAAAAATGGTGTCTGGGTGTTTTTTGTCATTAGAAATTTGATTTTGATATCAATATGATTCCGACTTGTAGAGGGCGCTACCTACATATTTTTAACTGGTTTGGAGAGTAATAACTTTTCGTCCGTACCTGTATAAAACTACTGACTAAAAAAATATGCATTTACGACGTTCTTTACGTAGAAAAGGTCTCTTGGTAAAAATCGCTACGAGTAATAGTTCTAGAGATATTTAGAATCGAAAATTCATCAATACCTGTCATCATTAGTTATTATTAGACTGAAATTTATGATCTCAAATGTTTTTGTGCCAAAAGTTCAACAGAAACTGTTTTATCATTATTTCTTCGAAGAAAAATTTATGATTTATTTAAGAAAAATAAATAGTTTTCAAATTTATCATTTCAGTCAACATATTTATTTTTTGTCAATAATGACATGTAGTGACTATTTCCATTCTAAATATCTTGAGAGCGACATTTTTACGTATACAATCACGGGAATGTATATTTTTCCCTCAGTAGTTTTATACAGGTACGGACGAAAAGTGATTACTCTTCAAAACAGTTAAAACCTTTGAATAAGAAGACTAAGGATGCATGGTGGGCGGAAAAAGCACTCTAGGGTGGGGATCCTTGACAGTTCTGTTTGACGATTCATTTGACACATTTGAATTTGATTTGAAATTTTGTGGATTTGTCAGTCTTTACGGAGCTTATTTTATGTTATTTATTATTTATTCTACTACTGATAGTTGTATAAAGGTAGTAAATCTAGATGGAAATTGTGGCAGAACTTAAATTAACAGTGACACTATCGCGATTTATCGAAAAAGACTCTAAAATAGTTGGTTGTGTAGCGTGCGGTAGATCTCGGCAAAAATTGAGTGAAATAATAGAACAACTTTTCGCTAGTAAGTGACTATATAATATACATACGTGTAGTAAACCGATCATTTATGAAATTCACTTAAATTAACTAAATTATATATTTTTCTTGCATTTTAGCTTTTACTTATTACTTATCAAAGATTAGATGTCAAAGAATTTAGATACGTTAATTTGACTTACCTGCTTCAGTAGCGTATCGGATGTTTGTGTTAATAAATACTTATTATAACTTATCTATTTTTATTAGAATTATATATTTTTATAACAATTTTAATAACTACCAACACTTATTCACACCGTAAAATAAAACAACAAATTATTGAGTCTACCCCACGTCTACCCTACAGCATAGTTTTACATTTTTTAAATAAAATTAGAACGATACTGATAAACCGGAATTTAAGCCGGCCATATTTGAGGCCCATCGCGGTGTACCTAAGATTTTTGATATGCTCCTTCCTTAGTCTTCTTATTCAAAGGTTAAAACACATGTTGGTGGCGCCCCCTTCAAATACGAAGAGTCATATTAACATCAAAATCAAATTTCTCATGTCAGATAACTCTCAGACACCAATTTTCATCCAAATATTGATGTTACTTCAGAAATTATTTGGACAAAACCGAAATAAATATGAAACTTCTAAACCCTGTATCTCCGAAACTAAGCATTTTAGGACATACGTTTATACGAACTTTTTTACTTATTTTTATCTGTAGAATATACTGCCGAAGTTTCCGGAATACAGTTCGGACCACCCTGTAGATATACTGAGCGTGGCGTGACGTCATATACCACGCTTGAGTATTTTTTTCAAAACGTTATATTTCTGTCAATATTCAACGTACGCAAAAAGAAAAAATACGTGTCTATTTATTTTCCATTGTCTATCAAAATTAATAATAATTTTTTAGGTAAATTTCCCATTGCTACAGAAAAGTTTGCTGGGTGTTACGCCACTGTAAGAATATCTACAAAATAAAATAGTTTAAATAGTTATTTTTTGCAAACACCGCTGCGTTGACCCAACGGGGCTCAATTTATCAGCAGTATTTTACTAATAAAACATATTTACCTAACAGACAAAGAACTGCAATGAACAAAAAAACTATTTAAAACATCTAAATACCACAATTCAAGAACACTTTAAAACAAATTAGAACACAAGCCACCGCCAATCTACGAGAGTAAAACCTAGAAATTCCGAATACAAATCAGGAAATATGCTTAAAAATGTTTTCTTTTCTTGTGTTTTTTTTTTGTATACCCTTTATATTTCAACAATATATTTAAAATTAATGTTTAGACTAGTTCTTTATAGCTCATGTGAAATAAACTTTTAATCACGCGATTAAGCTTGACCGGCACAGCGTTGCCCACATTTATATATTTTCAATATATCAAAATATTTTATTAAACAAACATAAATTAATTATAAATATATAAACAGTTATTATTTACATCAACAAAACTCACCTTCTTAACAGCACTTAAGGGACATAAAGGGCCATTACTGCCGCTTTCCTATTCCAAATATACTAATAAAGAGCTGCGATGAGTTTTTTACGGCTATATAAGCTATCTACGATCCACGCACTAAAATAGGTTCTAAAAAGAACAATGTTGGACTGCAAAATCTACTAGTAAACAGTGAGTAAACATTTTTAAGCTTAAAGCACTTAAAGTATCACAAACACTATTTATTTAAATCAAAAACTCGAAATACAAAACTAAAGTGTCAAAACAAATGACTGTGCCAGGAAATAAATAAATAAATGTGACAACTTGACATTTTTTACAGCAGAGCTACCGCCTGAATCCGCAGCGCGAAATTTAAATTCCAGTTAGTCAGCCCTCAGCCGAATATGTCCATGGTTGGCAACAATGAATTTAAAAATCGCATCCTCGATTACGTAACTAAAAGTTTAATTAGTACCAAATATACCTTTCTTATTTGTAAACTTTTATCTTTGGCTCAAACAATATTACAATCAGTTAATAGTTCTATAATGAAACATGCCAATGCACATTTCAACATGACATGGACTTTTATCTTTGACTCTTAAACAATTACAATTAATTAATAGCGTATAATCGAAAAAAAAACGTCGTCCAGTTGGCTTGGAAATGACGATCGATCTTCATTTCATAGCCATCCCTGACCCTATTTCATATGGTAGTTCTACCATATGATCGAAAAAAAACGGCGTCAGCGATGGCTATGAAATGAGATCGCTGTCATTTTATATGTAAAATTATAAGGGGAATTTCTAAGTTTTCTAAGCCAATTGGACGCGGTTTTTTCGATCGTGCGGTCGAATGTCAATTTACAATTCATATGACACAGGGCACAGAGTAGATTTTAACATCGCAAAAATTATGATGAGAGAACCGATAGATACCACCAAACAAAATCAAACTAAACAAAAAATACATAAAAGAGGCTTTTTTAATACAGTCTAATATAAATGTATTACTCAGTCATCTGTAGAAGTTAGTAATGTATTGCTATCGCTTCTTTGATTTTAAAAAGCATAACATCAGTAAAAATAAAAAACAAATAAGAAATAATCTTATACAGAAAGTTTGAAGCTTTTGGTTTTACCTTATCAATAATTGTGAATTTTTAAATTTAACTTGATATGTCATTTTAATAAAACGCCAACTGTTTTTAATAGACGTATCTGTTGAAAAAGAAAGTGTTCTTGAATAGTTATGTTTCGATATTTTAAAGAGTTTTTTCTTTGTTCTTTGTTTTTTTTTTGCTTCTGAAGACGGGAGGAGATTCACCTCGTGAAACGTTAAGTATTTGTTTGTCCTAGTAATTTTGTAATTTTGTTTTATTAGTAAAATAACGCCGACAAATTGGTCTCCGTTGCAGTGGCGGATACAGAGGGAGGCCCATGGGGCCAATGCCCCCCCTAAAATCTATAAATTGAGTTAAAAATTAGGCTTTTGGGTTAAAAATGGCATCCTAAAAAATATTTAACATTACTTTTTATTTGCCCCCCCCCTAAAATAAATTCCTGTATCCGCCCCTACTCCGTTGGATCCAAGGGCGTAGATAAGGGGGGGTACTGGGGGACAGTACCCCCCCCCCCCTGACGCTTGACGAGATACGAGAATTGAAATAGTCATTGACTATGAAAGGATTTTTTTTAATTAATATCCGACATATAAGAACACTTTGTATGCTTTTAATTATGTTGATTTATCGTTTATAATATGTTCGACCTAATTAAAAGCACACAAAGTGTTCTTATTGGCCAGGACAGATTAGTGGGGTTAACTCTAATCAATATCCATAAAGATATTGAAATAAATGTTGATGCTGTTATTAATAGGTTTTCCAAACAGCGCACTAGAAAACTTGATTTTGTTTTGTAGTTTTATTTATAGTTTATAGTTTTTATAGTTTTTTTTTGATAGTTTAGAGTTTTTTATTTATAGTTTATAGAAAATTAACTAATAAACGTCGTTGTTTCATTTTTGTTTGTGTTATTTACAAATCTATATTTTAATTTTTGTGTTATGTTTTTATGTCTTTTTGAAGACAAAAAAATCGCCGTCGTTTTAATTCGACAAAAAAATTCCGACGGTGATTTTTTTTGCGACTTAATCATAGTACCACCCCCATAGCATACACCTATCTACGCCCCTGGTTGGATCAGCAGCGGGGTTCACAAAAAAGAACTTCATCATATTGTATTTTGTAGATTTTCTTACAATGGCGTAATACTCAAAAGACTTTTTTGAAGAAATTTAGCCGCGGCAAATGTATAGGCATTATTTAGTAATTAATGTTTTTCTATAAGATTTAGTAACGAAACCTACGGGAAAATAATCGAAAAAATATCGATGGAGGATCAGAAACAAATGGCTGGTGGTGCACACAGCAAAAACGTGCACACTCTTTTTGCACCGTTAGATTTCCATACGACGAAAAGTACCATTGAATGCATATTTACAGAAATGGGAGAGGTAAACACAATACACAGGAATTACTCGTTAAGATTATTATACAAAATTGTTGGCACAAGTATAAAAAAATAATACAGTCAGACAACTGACAGAAAAAAAAAACAATTTACTTTTGAATTAAAATATCATTCTATTGTTGGACATTTTTTATGGCCTTATTTATTAGAATATATTACATAATATATTTTAATAAATATTACAGCTATTCAAATCTTAATGAGTAGAATTCGTAATCTGAAAACTATAGTTCATATCAAATAAACTTTTAGTCACGTGATTAGGCTTGACTGGCACAGCGTTGCCCACTTTTACATAATATATTTTCTTTTAATCAAAATATTTTAAGAAACAAAAATAAATTAATTGTAAATATATAAATAGTTATTATTTACATCAACAAAACTCACCTCTTTAACATCACTTAAGCAAAGACTGCAACTTAAGGGACATAAAGGACAATTACTACCGCTTTCCCGTTCAAAATATTCTAAAAAGTTGCGATGAGTTTTTTACGACTTTTAAGCTATTTTGTACACTTCGCACTAAAAAAAATTCTAAAAAGAATAATGTTCCACTGCAAGGCCTGCTATTAAAAATATTTAAGCTTAAAATATCACAACACAATTCATTTAAACCAAAAACTTGTAATACGCAAAGTAATATACCAATGACTATAAAGAATATAAGGACATTAACGCCCATATACGGGCTGCAGCAGAATTTGTGACCTTAGAGGCCATTCTTTTGATGGCAAACAATGAGTAATCTTTGTAGTGTAGTAAACTTTGTATAAACTTTATTACAATGGTGATTAGTTGTTCAGCTTTCAAGTGTAAAAGCAGCAGCGATAAGAAAGAGCCAGGAGTTACGTTTCATAAGTAAATAAACAGTCCACTCCAACTTTTTAGCGTTTTCTTATTGCATTCCGATAATTGTTCTTCAATTTCAATTAACATCTATATGTACTTGATATGTGCTATACGTCGATATTAGTTTTGTATCTTTTGTTAACATTTTAATGCGTTTTTTTCGTAATTAATTAGTATGATACACCATAGGCGTTGTCAAAACAATTATCAAAAAATATAAATATTGCTTCAAACAGCTAGGTTAAGAAAAATATGTGTCACGGCACTATTTGGTGACATCGGCACAATTTGCTCTCAGGTGTTATTTGTCCTTGGATTCTTTAGTCACTGTAATACACAAAAAAAGTGTCAAAACTTGAGTATGTCAGGAAATAAATGTGGCAACTTGACATTTTTTACAGCAGAGCTACCACCTGAATCACCAGCAGGAAATTTAAATTCCAGTTAGCCAAAAAAAAATTAAATTCCCCAGCTATCACGTCCTCGATTACGTAACTAAAAGTTTAATTGGTATCGAATATATTTGATAATTTTAACTTTATTTCTAATTTCTACCTTATTTTTGATGTGCATATTTTTAGGAAATCCTCAAAAATATCCGATCGCATCGTCTAGGGACAGACGCTAGGACAGCAGCTTATATAATTGTCATTAAAAATATGTTTGAACAAATTTATAATTTAAAAAAATTAATTTAATAAAAAAACAACATTTACATCTTAGTTTTATGCTTTTAATAGTAATAGTCGTACGCAAAATAAAATATATTGAACATTTATTACTATATACATATTAGAGAACAATATACTATCTTATATAATACATAAATAATACTATTTTTTTAATTTTATTTATTCAAAGTTATCCAAGTGAGAGAGGCATTATTTATTATCTATTTTAAAAATGGAGGAGTATGATTGTATTAAATTAACTTAGATCCAAAATAATTTTTAAAGCAGTCAGCAACTCTAAATCGTCAGCATTTATACAGGGTGTCCCAGGCTGAGGGTTCATTAGAAGTTTCTAGAGAACTACATACAACTACATACACATCATTGTTTCACAATGAGATCAATCGATTAAAAATATTTTCAAAATGGCGCGCAGTTTTTGCCGCAATACCGAAGTTTTTGACAGCAACTTTCTTATTTTAAATGGGTACCCCCATTTTTTATTATATAATTAAATTCTCTATAAAATTTTATGAATTTTTATATCAAACACTCTATATCTAACACTAGCCGTTTTTGGGAAAAAAATTATGAGAATTTTTTAATCTTTCAATTCCATGACAGCTACGGCCAATATTATATGACATTCAAACAATTTAATTTTTGAAATAGATAGCCACATGTCTTCTCTTTATGCCACCGTGGCTGTGGTAATCACTAAAGTTGACATTTAGGCTACAAATTTTTTTGACAAGCAGTTTTTTTCCTCCAAAAATTTTAAATATTTTTTTCTTCAAAAAAACGGTTAATGCTATGTATATATCTCTCTATCTGTATATCTCTATATGTATAGAGTGTTTGCTATCAAAATTCATAAAATTTTACAGAGAACTTAAGTATGTAATAAAAAATGGGGGTACCCATTTAAAATAAGAAAGTTGCTGTCGACTTCCGGTATTTCCGAAAGTGTCGCTTTATTGAAAATATTTTTAATTGGTAGATCTTGTAATTCTCTAGAAGCTTCTAATGCACGCTGCCTGGGACACCCTGTATACTGTTGCTATGATAAAACAACAATTATTTAATCAGTGTTCTTGCCAATATCCTGGCATAGCGAGGAACCTAGATCCTAGATCTATTTCTAAACTGGGATATTTCAGTTAGAGTTATTCATTACAATTATAATTATTTCTATTATTCTATTTAAAATAACTGAAACTAATTGGAACAAAAACTAAACAAAAATAAGGAACCAAACAATCTCAAGAGAGAGAATAGTATACAATCATAAAAAATGCATCAAAATGAGTCATGAAATCTCATGTTCCAAACGAAGAATAAATCATATCATGTAGAATGTAAGTAAGTCTCAAAGTAATATTTCATGATTTTATACTTATTTACTAGTAAACACTATTCTATATTACCTCTTATTTTCGTAATGGAGGTAAATAATCTCTTGCAGGAATTTGTGTTGGTATTCTAGGACCCTGTGTAGTCGGATATGTCCCACCGTTAGACGTTTCCGAAGCTGGATATTGCCCATTGTGTCCATTGCCATTTCTAGAATAACCATTTTGTTGTGGGGATGGTCGATTGGTCGAATATCGGTCATCCCCAGGTGCTTGACTAGGTCTGGGTGGTAAATATCCATTTCTTGATGACGGAGTTGTTTGCAAAGGTCTACGGTGTCCGTTAGATATTTCATTTGAGGAATCAGGATAATCCTGAGAAGTTTCTTTGTACTGTTTAGGTGCTTGACCAGATTGGAAAGGTTGTTGTCCCGGCTGGCCTCCAGGATATTCTGGATATTGTCCATGTGTTTCAGTCGACTGAATAGGTCTTTGCTGTCCAGAGTCCTCGTAAGGTCTACCGGATGGGTATCCTTCAGAAACACCATTATATCTTTCCGGCGTCTGTGTTGTTTGTGAAGGTCTATGTCGACCATTAGCGCCTTGAGATTGATACTGTCTGGGTGGCTGAGTCGATGGAATAACATTTTGTTGTCCAGGATAACCCTGCGAAGCACCTTCATGACCTCTAGGAATTTGAGTAGTCAGTGAAGGTCTCTGTTGGCCGTTAGAACCTTGTGGTTGATTATCATGATATCCTCCATTTTGGCCAGCAAACTGCGTTGACTGTGTAGGCCTCTGTTCAGGATATCCTTGACTTTTATCATATCTTCCAGGTAACTGAGTTGACTGCGGAGGGATATATTGCCTATCAGAACTTTGGCTTTGACGTCCAGGATATCCTTGAATATCTCCATCGTATCTTTCAGGTGGTTGAGTGGTCTGATGACCATTTTGGCGTTGTAACTGACTTCCAGGATATCCTTGAGAAGTTCCTTCATATCTTCTAGGTGCTTGAGTAGATTGGAAAGGTACCTGCTGGCTGCTAGGACCCTGAGGCTCGTATTTGCCTTGTGAAGCTAGAAATCGGAAAAATAATTTTTAGATCTTGTAACTTATATTGATTTTACAAAACTACCTTGACCATTCACAGGTTCACCAGGCCCATGTCCATTTGTAGGCGTTTGAGCATCGAGATTTTGTTCAAACTCTCTGGAGGGTCCTCCGAAACTATCGTCTCCTGCGGGAATGGCACCTGTTTGCTGTTGCGCGCCGGTGAAAGAGTAGTCATAGAGATCCGCGTTGACTCCGTAGAAAGAGGGTGCCGAGTTACAATCGAACTCGTGCCACCACACGCATACCAGGAATTCCTGGTGGAAAATAGTACCGTTAGGACAAAGAAAATCGTAAGTTTTATTGTTGGTGCATATATGAAAAACCTGGCATCTGGTTTCAAGGTCCGCGTAGTATCCAGGATATTGTTGTTGGTCACATCGGAACGACGTTTCTGGCGCAGATGCTAATATTGGATAATCAACATCCGGTTGGCCAGAGATTGCCGAGTAATCGACTTCGTTTGTGTCTGGTTCATTAGGGGAAGAACTTTCAGCTTCTGGAGCAGGCTCAAATTCTTCAATAAACTGTCGAGTTTGTCCAGAAATATCCCCTTTTCCATTCTGACTACTTGGAAAACTATTTTGACCAGCTGGATGACCATTATGACCACCTGAATATCCAGTCTGGCCATTTTGATAACTTGTAGGTCGTTCACTTGGAAATCCAGAAACTGTGGGTGATGGGTATTCCGTAGAATCGGGAGAGGGTGATGGGAATTGACCTAAAGAAAATAATAAATTATTAACGTACGATTTAGAAAGTTCAAACGTTAATACCTTGATTCTGACTAGGTCTGTTGAATTGTTCAGGATAAGAAGTTGGAGAAGATGGTCCTCCTTGAGATGGCTGAGATGCTGGATAACCTTTACAATATATTTAAATGTTAGAATGTCTTGCTGTGGTGTTGCGTTATAATAGAACACTGAATAAAAGTACTATGAAAGAGGTCGAAAATCATACATAATAAATGAAAAAATTGGAAATATCCTTTTCAGACTTTCTTCTTTGTAAATTTAAATTTTTGCGAGTTTTTTTCTGCCTTTATTCTATATTATATTTTTTGTGTATTTTTATAATAATTATACATAATTGGTTTTATGGAAAGTGTACAAAGCTGGAAACACATTGCTTAGGACTTGATTTACAGTATCTAAGATTATTGTGAATCTTAGACCTTTCAAATATAATTACTTTGTTCAGTATGCGATTATGTTCATTCAATGTGCAGACTGCAGACAAAAAGAAATGGAGTATAGTGGAATTTTTTTTTCATTAGTAAGTAATTATATGTTATGAAGAGTACACCAAGAACTAGCAAATTATTTTTTTATTCTAGTTTTATGTTTTTATTTCATTAATTTATGACTTTTTCTTTGAAGGAATTGTAGTTATTATTAGTTATTATAGTTTTTCTTATGAGATGATCTCTTACAGTGACAGCTATCTGTCATCTTAATTTACAGACAATTATGTCACAAAAGTATTAATTTTTGCGACGTGATTGACAATGACAATATAAAAAAGTAATTTTAACGCCTAGGCATTAAAGTACGAAAATACATTATTAAACTGACATAAAGTGTCAAATTCAACGAACGTAACCGGAGTTTCTCGATATACGGAGTGGTCCGAATTGTATTCCGGAAACTTCGGCAGCATATTCTGCAGATAAAAATAAGTAAAAAAGTTCATATAAATGTATGTCCTAAAATGCTTAGTTTTGGAGATACAGGGTGTGGAACTTTCATTTTTATTTCGATTTTTTCCAAATAATTTCTGAAGCAAAGTCAATATTTGGATGAAAATTGGTGTCCGGAAGTTTTTTGACATGAGAAATTTGATTTTGATGTCAATATGACTCCTATTTTTAGGGGGCGCCACGTACATGTGTTTTAACTGTTTTGAAGAGTAATAACTTTTCGTCCGTACCTGTATAAACCTACAGTGGGAAAAATATACATTTCCGTGACTTTCTACGTAAAAAATGTATCTTGGTAAAAATTGCTACCAGCAACCGTTCTCGAAATATTTAGAGGTTTTTAGGTTGAGTAGATAGGTAGTTATTTGACTGAAATTATATATTTGGGAAATTTTAATTTTTTTAAATTAAGCATAAATTTTTCTGCGAAAAAAATGATGATAAAACAGTTTCTGTTGAAGTTTTGGCACAAAAACATTTCAAATGTATGATCTCAGTCTAACAACTATTTAGTCAACATGTTTAATTTATGTCAATGATGAGAGGTACCTATTGATAATTTCGATTCCAAACATCTCGAGAACCATTACTTGTAGAGATTTTTACTAAGGGACCTATTTTACGTAAAAAAATGTCGTAAATGTATATTTTTTTACTCAGTAGTTTCATACAGGTACGGAAAAAAAGTTATTACTCTTTAAACCAGTTAAAAAATATGTAGGTGGCGCCTTCTACAAGTAGAAGTCATATTGACATCAAAATCAAATTTCTCATATCAAAAAACTCCCAGACACCAATTTTCATCCAAATATTGACGTTACTTCAGAAATTATTTGGAAAAAATCGAAATAAAAATGAAATTTCTACACCCTGTATTTTTGAAACTAAGCCATTTTAGGACATACATTTATACGAACTTTCTTACATATTTTTATCTGCAGAATATGCTGCAGAATATATCTGCAGAATATAAGTTTCCGGAATACAGTATTACTTTTAAATCTTTTTATATTATTTACAACGTTTGAAATTGTTTAAAAACTCACTGCTCACTGTCACTGTTATGTCAAACGTACAGCCTCGCCACAAGAAGTATCATTTTTACTGCTAATAAAACAATAAACTATTGTTATTATTTGGATATCGAAATTCACAAAAATAATCGATTGCCATTGACTAACCGAAAATCAAATCAGCCATATTGAAACTCCTTCATTGTCTAGTAAACTTTGTTTATATACTCATTCCTTAGTCATCAACATACCTGAAGAAGTATAAGTTGGTGATGTAGGACCTCGAGGAACACTTGAATATCCGTTTTGGGAAGAATAACCATTTCCTGAATATTTCGGTGTTGTGGAACCTCCATGTCCATTTTGCCCATCTCTAAATCCATTCTGACCACTTGGATATCCTCCTGTTGGTTGAGCTGGATACGAACTACCACCTTGACTTGAATAACCCCCCGGACGATGTCCATTCGAATGACTAGGGTATCCATTTTGTGTTACGTCAGGATATGAACTGGATGTCGGTGTAGGGTACCCTCCAGAAGAAGTACTAGCGGTTGAACTTGGATATCCTCTAGAAGATGGTCTTGAAAAATCTCCAGAAGATGGTGTTGGGAAACCACCAGGTGTGGGCGGATGTGGACTTCCATTTGTTGATGATGGATAACCGTTGGTAGGTGGAGTATAGTCAACGGGTGCTTGGCTAGCTCCTCCATTGAATGGTTTTGAAGGAGTGGGGTAATTATACCCTTGTTGAGACTAAACAAAAAATTGAGGATTAGTGTTAGGAAGATAATAAAATAAAGCTTAATAGTTTTAGGCAAATGATTAAATTAACGATATAAGCTATACATTATTAGATACATTTTTATATATAGTTCATACCAAATATACTTTTAGTCACGTGATTAAGCTTGACTGGCATAGCGTTGCCCACTTTTACATATTTTCTTTTAATCAAAATATTTTAGGAAACAAAAATAAATTAATTATAAATATATAAACAGTTATTATTGACATCAACAAAACTTCTTAATAGCACTTAGGGGACGGAAAGGGCCATTCTACCGCTTCCCCGTTCAAAATATTCTAATAAAGTTGCGATGAGTTTTTACGACTATTAAACTGTATCTAGTACACTTCGCACTAAAAGAGGTTCTAAAAAGAACAATGTTCGACTGCAAGGTCTGCTAGTAAAAGTTTTTAAGTATCCGTATAATATATCTATTTAAAGTATCACAACATTATTTATTTAAACCAAAAAATCGTAATACAAAACTGAAGTGTCAAGAAGAATGACAATGTCAGGAAATAAAAATAATTAAATGCGGCAACTTGACATTTTTTACAGCAGATCTACCACCTGAATTCCCAGCGAGAAATTTAAATTCCAGTTACACAGCCCGGTGCCGAAAAGTCCATGGTTTGGCAACAATGAATTTAAAAATCGCGCCCTCGATTAGCTAACTAAAAGTTTAATTGGTATCGAATATACATTATTAGATACATTTTACTGTACTTACCGATATTGGAGTGATTATCGCCAACAGAGCTATATAAACACAAAAATAAACATTATTAAAACATGCTGTACCTATTTTAAAAAAGGCGCCACAGAGGCTTTTGAACTTACGAATTTAATATCTTATTTGGTAAAAAGAAAAACTTTTCCAGAGAAGAATCCAAAATATTCAAAAAATATTGTTTATCTCTTGTCTTTAATTAGTAATTTTTATTCAGTTAGACAGATTATACTGGATTGTCACTTCGAAGACTACTGTGACGCCGTTTTCCTTTTCGACATAACGGTATGGAAGTTATAGAAAATGCTCTGAATGTCTTTGGTATACAATATAAATAAACTAACGTCGGTATTATATAACGTATGTAATACGTGAGAATACTGTTATCGAAATAATAAAAAATCATTCATTCTTTTGCAACATAAATATTTACTTAGACTAGTGAAATTAACATCAAATCGTGAAGCTACTGCACTAGTTCACATACAAGAGGAATGTTTGAATGAATCTCTCGTATTTTCTTATTGAAGAAAAATAGAAAATAATGTAACAAAGAGAAGATATTACATATTCGTGATCAAATTTCGATTGAAGTTCAATAAAAACACTGAAAACGATTTTTAGTTATGTAACTGTATGATTTCAGGCATTTGAAAGATAGCATCGTTTAGACACTTCCTATCAGATCTAACAATAGCCAATAAAAGATAATCTAAAATCATTATATACATTTTCTGTTAGTTATTTATTTATTTAAGATGTTATATTTTATTATTTCATAAGAAGAGTATCATATACAGGGTCAGTCTTAAAAAAGTGCAAATATTTTCATGGCTGGTAGATCTCGATAAAAGAAACATATTTTCTCTTCGCCGCTTTTCAAACAGGTCCAAAATAACAGAGATATTTTACTTTGAAAAATTCAAAAAAAATATATATTTTTTCCTTACATTTTGAGCACCATTGGATCTTTTCAAGGTTTTCTTTCTTGTAAATTTAATTTACTACTTATGTTGTCATATTATAAGGATATTATGTTTTTTAACTAAAAATTTAAAAAAATTCCAAAATTTTTTTAAAAAAATTCTAAATTTTCACAATTTTTTTTTTCGCGAAAAAAGCTTCATAGACGTGTTTCTGGGATCGAAATGTACTACCCCTAAACATATTTGCACTTATTTAAGACTCACCCTGTATAATTAGATGTCCTGAAAATAGTACACAAAAAACAAGCATTAGGCTTGAATAAGTTTGAATAATAATTTTTAGAAGATTGAAATTGAACTTTTTAAAGATTGTTCTAATATTACATGAGAACTTGATAAGATGAACATATATTTAACAATAAATTGTCATTTTATAATGCCAAATTATACAGTAGATATGTTTTATTAAACATATCTGAAAATAAATTGCCAGGTATAGTCTGTCCATCGAGTCAGAATTAATTTCGATAGACGACAGCATCGAAAAATGACAGAAAATAAAACTTTGATGTAAAGTGAAATGACAGACACGGATCCTTTCGTTGGACAGACTACATAAAGAAGAATATATTTGAGAAAATGTACATATTGAATTTAAATATTATACCGTATGATTGAAAAAAAAACGGCGTCAGCGATGGCTATAAAATGAAGTTCGCTGTCATTTTATATGTAAATTTATACGGGAAATGTGTTATCAATCGTCATTTCCCAGCCAACTGGACTTTTTTTCGATCACACTGTATATCTCATATATATTTATATACAAAATAATTATTGTCATTGTTTTACCTATTCCAAAATATTTCCATTCCTTCATGATTTCTGCAATAAAAAATAAATATTATTTATTTCTCAAAAATGTGTGAGAAGATCGGGATATTTTTTTTAAATGGAACAACCTGTATATTATTACATTTTTGGCTTCCTTTCTGATCATTTTACATTTTCCTAAGATATTATTAAATATGTTTTGATAGTTTCAGAGATATTAATAAATAAATAAAAAATATATTTTTTCAGCCTTTTTAAAAAAAAAATATTAAAAATACAAGAAATGTCCCGAAATCTAAACTATAGTAGGTCTTTACTACAGTTAGTTTGTACTTACTTTGTTATAAATATTGTAATCTTAAACCATACAGGATGTTCAAAATTCTATGCCAAATTTTCTAAAATATAAAATAATTTTTCTTCGTTTTTATTTTAAATTTAATATTTATTTAAAATTTTTAGCAGTTTCCTAAATATTCGCGTTTTTATTGCATATGGTTCTTTCAACGGGAAAACACCAGAAAGAAAATCATTAGGTGGCTTTGATACAAAATTACTGTTGAAAAACCCACATGTAATAAAATATTCGCATCGAATATCCGCAAAACCGTTAAAAATTTTGAAATACTTTATGTACAAAAAATGTTCTATTCAAAAAAAATATACAGAGTGTTCCATTTACAAAAACCGAAGAAAAACTATTATAAATTTAGAAAGTTTGTAGTAGTAAATATCTAGTATAGTTTTGATTTCAGTACATTTCTTGTATTTTTAATAATTTTTTTTATAAAAGGTGGAAAAATATATTTTTTTAATTTATTTATTAATATCTCTGAAACTTCTGAAACTATCAAAACATATTTAATAATATTTTAGGATAATGTAAAGTGATCAGAAAGGAATCCAAAAATATACTTACAGAGTGTTCCATTTAAAAAATATCATTCCGATCCACTCACAATTTTTTAAGTGACCTTGTAGAAGTTGAAATATTTTACTGAAATACATACTTTAGGTTTGCACCCTGTATAAAATGATAAAAAAAATAATTGAATTACAAATATGAATTTGAATTAGATTTTTTTGATTAAATAATATTCATTAAATATGTATATTTTAAAGTACAAAAATAAAAGTTTGGTAGATATTTGTCGCACAGGTATAACTTGACATGCCTACCCTCAAAATGTTTTTAATTGATTATTAACTGAACTTATTTAAGATAGAAACTCGCACAGTATAAAGTATAAAAAAAGAAAACTATAAACAAAAACAAAATACCTGTGATTAAAAGACCACGACAAAAATATAATTGATTAAATAAATGATTTAATAAATGAAACTCACCCTAGCCACCCCTGTATAATGAACCACTCAGGGTAATCCTAACCCAATTGACAACTGAACGTCGAAGATGATCCGTTTGTTTATATATGAACCGAAATTGCCCCATTTTCTTCGGCGGATCACCCACTAGGAGCGAAGAAAAAATATTCGTCACAGAACAACTGACGTATACGGTGGGGAAGATCTTCGAAGATGGTTCCCGCTCATCATCTCTTTAAATCAGAGTATCTACTGTGAAATAATAGACATTCATGTATGTATCGTTTTATGTACAGTATAAAGTAAAATAAACAATACATATAGAAGGACAATAAATTTTGTCATTAATATAAGAACAAAGAATTGTTAAATGTTAAATTTATATATATATATATATATATATATATATATATATATATATATATATATATATATATATATATATATATATATATATATATATATATATATATATATATATATATATATATATATATATATATATATTATATATATATTTTCAGGTCTTCTTTCGATAACTATCTAGAATATCATGCGATACCTGACAATAATTATTAATTATCTTCGTTTATAGTCCAGGAGCCAGTGACGATTTTTGGTACTTATTTTCCCAGTCAGCAAACACAGATAGAATCGTTCGGTACCTATGTTATTCTAAGCAAATTTAAAATACAAGGTTTTCCGAGTCAAATTGTAGTTATGAACCGCTTGTTGCAATTTCAAATAAACCATATTCGAAAATGTCAGAAGATGACATATATGATATGTCTGGATATGTCGTTCTATTCAGAGTGGCATTTTCTATCGAATATAGTAAAAAATACCGAGGCTGGCGTTTAAAAATCAAAAGTTGTATTCATTTCCAGTAAAACCTTTGAATAAGAAGACTAAGGAAGGAGCATAATGCTATCCATGTATTCATGCATGGTGGGCGGAAAAAGCACTCTAGGGTGGGGATCCTTGACAGTTCTGTTTGACGATTCATTTGACACATTTGAATTTGATTTGAAATCTTGTGGATTTGTCAGTCTTTACGGAGCTTATTTTATGATATTTATTATTTATTGTACTACTGATAGTTGTATAAAGGTAGTAAATCTAGATGGAAATTGTGGCAGAACTTAAATTAACAGTGACACTATCGCGATTTATCGAAAAATACTCTAAAATAGTTGGTTGTGTAGCGTGCGGTAGATCTCAGCAAAAATCGAGTGAAATAATGGAACAACTTTTCGCTAGTAAGTGACTATATAATATACATGCGTGTAGTAAACCGATCATTTGTGAAATTCACTTAAATTAACTAATTATATATTTTTTCTTGCATTTTTGCTTTTATTTACTACTTGTCAAAGATTAGATGTCAAAGAATTTAGATACGTCAATTTGACTTACCTGCATCAGTAGCGTATCGGATGTTTATGGTTATAGATAATTATTATAACTTATCTATTTTTATTTGAATTTTATATTTTATAACAATTTTAATAACTACCAACATTTATTCACAACGTAAAATAAAAAAAAAATATTGGGTCTACCCCACGTCTACCCTACATCATAGTTTTACATTTTTTAAATAAAATTAGAACGGCACTGATAAACCGGAATTTAAGTCGGCCATATTTGAGGCCCATCGCGGTGGACCTAAGATTTTTGATATGCTCCTTCCTTAGTCTTCTTATTCAATGGGTAAAACAGAAAGTGGCCGAAAATAATTGAATACGTCAATCAATGTTAATTTGTCATATACTAACATACCAAGTTTCGTTTTTTACCTGAAAAAATAAAAAAGTTATAGGGGTTAGCCATTTTTGAGACGCACCGGGTGTATCTGTGTAATTAAGCTTGATTTAGAACCTCACAATTAGTGGTTTCAATTACACTTTATACTTTTTAGTTTAGGATCATTCACAGTGTCTAAAAAACACAATTAAAATTAATAGAATCCTAGCAACGATTGCGGTAAGCAGTTGTATCCATAGAGAAAGCCTAATATTTAGCTTATAAAACAATAAACTTTTGATTTCTAATTTCTAACAACATTTTCTCTTGACGGATTTCCACTAATTGAAAATTCCTACCACTAATTTTAACATTGTGAATACATACTTTCAAATTAGAAGAACAAACTTCTACGATAATTGAAACCACTAATTTATTTAGCTTTAAGTCAAAATATTTTATACACACTTGAAAGAAGGAATTTACTAACAAGCTTCATTCAGAACCTCGCAATTAGTTGAATAAATTAGTGGTTTCAATTAGCGCAGGAGTTTGTTCCTTTAATTTCAATGTAAGCATTCAAATGTCAAAATTAGTGGTAGACGTTTTCAATTAGTAGAAAAAGTTATCAAACCTTTAACTTTTCCACTAATTATTGTGCTATAATAGTATATATAATACTGTATTGTATTTTCCACTAGACATTGTGAATGATCGTAAACTAAAATGTCATTGAATGAAGCTGAATTAAAACCACTAATTGCGATGGTCTAAATGAAGTTACAGGGTAATAAATTAAATTTCTAATCAGCTTTGGTCCAATTTCAAGTCAGTTGGTTGAAAAATATCGACTGTCAACCAATGACATAATAGTGTAATTGAGCGCGTAAAGAGTACCGTCTTCTGGGTATACCTAACCAGAGTCGTACCATAACGGTCAATGCGTATGAAAAAAGATCAGTCTACGATATTATGATTATTTTAGTACCATATATTATTAAAAATTATTAATTTAATAGGTGAAAGTAATTGTATGCTGTAAGGTATCATTTAATGATGCACAAAAGTATATGATAATAACATTGTTTTATGCTCTTTTTTCAAACGTTTACAAATAATTTTTTAAACAATTTCACACGTTGTAAATAATAAAAAGATTTAAAAATAATATCTTGCAAATAATTATATATCGAGAAACCATAGTTACACTTACTGAATTTGACACTTTATGTCCGTTTAATAATATATTTTCGTACTTTTGTGGCCTAAAAGTGCTTTACTTTTATGCCTAGGCGTTAAAATTACTTTTATATATTTTCAATCACGTCGCAAAAATTAATACATTTGTGACTTTTGGAAAAAAATTGTTTGATTAGGAGTAAAAATGACACTTTTTGTGGCAAGGCTGTACGTTTGACATTACAGGCGAGGCACAAAAAGTAATTTTTATTCTGAATAGAACATGCTATTTTTTCAAACGTTTACAAATAATTTTTTAAACAATTTCAAACGTTGTAAATAATAAAAAGATTTAAAAATAATATCTTGCAAATAATTATATATCGAGAAACCATAGTTACACTTACTGAATTTGACACTTTATGTCAGTTTAATAATATATTTTCGTACTTTTGTGGCCTAAAAGTTCTTTACTTTTATGCCTAGACCTCGGCCTAGGCGTTAAAATTACTTTTATATATTTTCAATCACGTCGCAAAAATTAATACATTTGTGACTTTTGGAAAAAAATTGTTTGATTAGGAGTAAAAATGACACTTTTTGTGGCAAGGCTGTACGTTTGACATTAAGGCGAGGCACAAAAAGTAATTTTATTCTGAATAGAACATGTGCTATTTTTCAAACGTTTACAAATAATTTTTAAACAATTTCAAACGTTGTAAATAATAAAAGATTTAAAAATAATATCTTGCAAATAATTATATATCGAGAAACCATAGTTACACTTACTGAATTTGACACTTTATGTCAGTTTAATAATATATTTTCGTACTTTTGTGGCCTAAAAGTTCTTTACTTTTATGCCTAGACCTCGGCCTAGGCGTTAAAATTACTTTTATATATTTTCAATCACGTCGCAAAAATTAATACATTTGTGACTTTTGGAAAAAAATTGTTTGATTAGGAGTAAAAATGACACTTTTTGTGGCAAGGCTGTACGTTTGACATTACAGGCGAGGCACAAAAAGTCATTTTTACTCTGAATAGAACTTGCTATTTTTTTCAAACGTCACAAATAATTTTTTAAACAATTTCAAACGTCCCAAATAATATAAAAGATTTAAAAGTAACATCTTGTAAGCATATAATTGGTTTGATAAACTATGGTTACACTCGTTGAATTTACACTTAATGTCAGTTTAATAATATATTTTTGTACTTTTATGGTTAGGCGTAAAAGTGCTTTACTTTTATGCATAGGAGTCAAAATTACTTTTACAGGCGAGGCACAAAAAGTCATTTTTAATACGAATAGAACATGCTATTTTTTTTAAACATTTCAAAAAATTTTTTAAACAATTTTAAGTGTTCCAAATAATATACAATGATTTAAAAGTAATATGTCGTAAGGAATTATATATCGAGAAACTATGGTTACGCTCGTTGAAATTGACACTTTATGTCAGTTTAATAGTATATTTTCGTACTTTTATTACTTTTATGCCTAGGCGTTAAAATGACTTTTTTTATATTGTCAATATGACGTCGCAAAAATTAACACTTTTGTGATGTTTGAAAAAAATAATATATTGCTTTATTAGGAGTAAAAATGATACTTTTTGTGGCGGGGCTAATATTTATATCAGATGTATATTCTATTGTGTCAACAAAAAAAAACTGATCAACAATCAAAAATTGCATTGTTTTATCTATCTGCATCTTATCTGCATGTATATTATCTTATCTGCATTTATGTATTATATACTGTACTATATTGTCTCTACGCCAGTGGTTATAGGGCTTTCTGGGAAAGCAAAAGCGTGCAATCTATTTTGTGACGACAACGCGTTTAGAATTTTGACAGGGCACGAAGTCAAGAACCGCAAACACGATCTTCCAGTTCAAAAATAACAGTAAAAAAAGAAAAGCGACGAATTTACTTTCATTAAAGAAAAAAAAATAAATGAAAATTCTATAAAAATAAATAATAATAATAGATAATAAGTTATAAAAAATAAATAAAGTAATGTATTCTTTAAGTTATTAAGTAAGGACCTAAAAAATCATATTTCTAAAATCTATTTTCACTCTGAACATTTTTGAAGGACCAGTCCAAGAAAAACTACTATAGATTTTCATTTAATATTTTAAAGGCCACTCTATTTTTTTCCGATCCTAAAATATATTTTTTGTATATAATTAAGTCTTCTTCACACTTCACAAGGTGCCAAACGTGTGTCACGAAGAAATTATAGTAGATGACCCGTACTAGGTCTAAAGTGCTCTATCGACCTCGGTGCTAGATATGTTTATAGTTCAAAATTCAATTTAATTGCAATAAGTGGTATGGTATTTTGGCATCATCGGCATGTAATGGGGTTATCATTAGATACCATCAGTACCATCTATAATGATCTCAGTCAAGGACAGGAGAGACGAAATCAGTTAATGGCAAAACTACGCGAAAAGGAAGAAACAGTTAGAAAATGTAATTTCATAATATTTTTGGATTTTCAGCTAACTGTTATATTTCACAAAACTACATAGTTGTGAAGCAATTCCTATGCGGTAGTTTTGATAGAAGGCTGTAATTGTGTCTCGACTATCTTTCACTAGAATGTAAAGTTCGTAAAACTTTGCCTCGTGGCCTTAAATTTGAACCTTAAGGTACCTCTACTAAATAAATAGAACAGCTCAGAAGATCAGGTCGTAAGATTTTGACAAAAGGTAAACATTAGATTTTCTTAACGAACAACAAAACTTTTTAACGCGAATTGCTTCATGCAAAACAAAATTTAGTTGATGGTCCGAACAGGGTGGTCCGAACAGGGTGGTCCGAACTGTATTCCGGAAACTTCGGCAGCATATTCTGCAGATAAAAGTAAGTAAAAAAATTATATATAAATGTATGTCCTAAAATGCTTAGTTTCGGAGATACAGGGTGTAGAAAGTAACTTCAATATTTAGATAAAAATTGGTGTCTGGAAATTTTTAGACACGAGAAATTTGATTTTGATGTCAATATGACTCCCATTTGTAAAGGGCGCCACCTACACGTGTTTTAACTGTTTTGAAGAGTAATAACTTTTCGTCCGTACCTGTATAAAACTACTAAGTGAAAAAATATACATTTCCGTGATTTTCTACGTAAAAAATGTCTCTTGATAAAAATCGCTACGAGCAACCGTTCTTAAGATATTTAGAATGGAAATAGTCAATAGATGTCTTTATTGACAAAAAATAAAAATGTTGAGTAGATAATTATTTGACTAAAATGATAAATTTTGGAACTCTTTGTTTTTTCAAATTAATCATAAATTTTTCCTCGAAAAAATAATGATAAAACAGTTTCTGTTGAACTTTGGACACAAAAACATTTCAAATTTATGATTTCAGTCTAATAACTATTTATTCAACATGTTTAATTTATGTCAATGATGACAGGTATTGATAATTTCGATTCAAAATATCTCGAGAACCATTACTCGTAGCCATTTTTACCAAGAGACCTTTTTTACGTAAAAAACGTCGTAAATGTATGTATATCTTTTACTCGTTTTATACAGGTTCGGAGGAAAAGTTACTACTCTTCAAACCAGTTAAAAATGTATAGGTGGCACTCTTTGGGTGGCACTCTCTATAAATAGGAATCATATTGACATAAAAATTAAATTTCTCATGTCAAAAAATTCCCAGACACCAATTTTTATCCAAATATGTAATGTTTAGTTTAATTCAGAAATAATTTGGAAAAATCGAAATAAAAATGTACACCCTGTATCCCCAAAACTAAGCATTTTCGGACATCTATACTAATATATAAAATCCTTAAGTGACTGACATACTGATTAATCACGATCCTGCTCAAACCACAATTTTGGCATACAGGTTGATTCTAGGGTGTAGAGGTTCGATAAGAAGGGATTTTTCGAAATTCCAGTTCCAAGAGGGTGATATCACCCCTCAAATATTACAATATTTTTTATTGAAAAAACGGTCAAGTTTCAGAAAAGACGCTTAAACACGTATATTTTATTTTGTTTTTTTACATATTTTAAGATTTTTTAAAAATGTATACAGGGTGTTTCTGGTCATTGATTAATCACGATCCTGCTTAAAACGCTTGACGTAAAAAGCTGATTTTTGGAAAACAGATTGACTTTAGGGTGTAGAGGTTCGATAAGAAGGGATTTTTCGAAACTCGAATTCTATGGGGGTGAAACTATCCCTCAAATATTAAAATATTTTTTATTTAAAAACCGGTGAGTTTTTCGGAAAACTCTTAAACACGTATATTTTATTTTGTTGTTTTACATATTTTAAGATTTTTTTTGAAATTTATACAGGGTGTTTCATAAAATATGACAATTGAGTAATCACGATTCTGCTTAAACTGCTTGACGTTTAAAGCTGATTTTTGGCAAACGGATTGACTGTGGGGTGTAGAGGTTCGATAAGGAGGGGTTTCTCGAATCTCAAATTTCAAGAGGGTGAAAACGCCCCTCAAATATTACAATATTTGTTATTTAAAAAACGGTTAATTTTTCGAGAAAACGCTTGGACAAGTATAATTTATTTGGTTTTTTTACATATTTTGAAATTTTATAAAAGATCATACTGGGTGTTCCAAAAAGTTGGGTAATTTCTTAACCACGATTCTGCTTAAACTGCTTGACGTAAAAAGCTTATTTTTGGAAAACGGGTTTTTCGAAAATCAAAATCCAACGAAATGAAACTACCTCTCAAATATTACCAAGTTATATAATAATATCGCCATATTGTTTTTTCTCATGCTGACATAAATGTGAGAAAATTTTATCCAGTTTGTATGTTACTGGAAATTCTTGCTTTGCTTTATCATCACCATTACAAATGATTAATTCGGCGCGAACAAATTCGCTGGTATACGCTAGTACATTTATACAGTCTTTTTTACTTATTTTTATGTGCACAATATGCTGGTGAAGTTTCAGGAATACAGTTTGGGCCACCCTGTAGAATGATATAGATCCGGCCAAACTAGAACCTGGATCTGGGTCCATGAAGTTCGGACCCACCTTTACTTACAACAGAACAGAGTGTGATTACTTTTAACCTTGTAGATATTTTTAACGCTTGATAAATTTGTTCATTTAAAATAGAATCACTCTGTACAAATTACTAAATTAAATTATGTCTATAATTAGTTCCCTAGTAAAAAAAATTATAAATTTAGTGATCGCACAAAAATTATGTTAAAAAAATTGCAGTAATCTACATGAGCATGAGCAATTGACATTTACTGACAAAATCAAAGTCGTGTATTACAAGTATAATAATTAATGTCCCTATTAATCGAGGGAAAAAATATGATCGTGACAAAAACTGTGCTAATGGATATTGTATGAAATAATCTGTTCAAAGTCATTATTGAGAATTAAAAATTATAGGGGGAAAAAACTACGTGCGGTTTCATTTATTTATCAAGATAATTAAACTATTTATAGCGGGTGTGTCTCAAAAGTGGCTCACCCCTATAACTTTTTTATTTTTTCAGATAAAAAACGAGATTTGGTATGTTAGTATATGATGTAAATTAGGATTGATTGACCTATTCAATTGTTTTTGGTCACTTCCTGTTTCACCGGAGATGACTAGAACTTTTGATTTTTAAATAGCACCTCCGGTATTTTTTTAATTTATTCAATAGAAAATTACATTCTGAATAGAATGACATATCATATGTCAACTTTTGACAATCTCGCTTAATAAAACATAGTATTTTAAAATTCAATCTAGAGTGCCATGGCTATGTTAAAAATACTAATTCTTAATCAAGGAGCCTTGGAAAAATAGATTTGATGGTCTAATGTTTTTAGTATCTTATCCTGACCAAATAGAAAATGCTCAAATCGTATTTTTAATCATATCTCAATTTTTTCAAATGGAACGAGGGTGGCTCATAAGTACATTTTGAAAAAGCATTTTTTACAAATAATTTGATATCACACACTTGGTATTTTGAGTAAAATTTTCGTTACGAACCGCAAGTTATAATTTCAAATAAACCATGCATATGCGAAAATGTCAAAAGTTGACATATGCTATGTCATTCTATTCAGAGTGATATTTTCTATCAAATAAAGTAAAAAAAATACCAAGGGTGCCATTTAAAAATTAAAAGTTGTAGTCATTTCCGGTGAAACAGGAAGTGACCAAAAACAATAATTGAATGTGTCAATCAGTCCTAATTTATGTCATATACCAACATACCAAATATCGTTTTTTTATCTAAAAAATATAAAAGTTATAGGTGTGGCCACTTTTGAAACGCACCCGGTATATCTATGCATAAACAATTAGATATTTTTTACTTATATTAGATATTAATTTTTTCTTTTTTAGATATTAATTTGATATTTATGTATTATACACTCATTATTTTATGAGACACCCTGTATCTCGGCAAGGAAGCATTTATTTTAGGACATAAGTTTATACGAATTTTCTTACTTGTTTTTATCTGCAGAAGATGCTGCCGAAGTTTCCCGAATACAATTCGGACCACCCTGTATATAAGCTCAGCCAAAGTTATTGCATGAACTTTTAATATAATTTAAATGCAATGCTTTCAAGTCATTTTGAAACGTTCTCTAAATAATTAAATAATAAATAATAATGAAGATAAATGTCGATATTGCTGGAATTTAACTACAACTTGCATGGGGCATACGTACCTATACACATCATTTTTCTATTACTTTTACTTGTGAATATCTACAGACATAATACAAATCTCCATTCTTTAGAATTATAATAGATAATAAAAGTACAGCTTGCAAACTGATAGCAATCGTGGAGTTCATCAAAAATCGATATTCCCATCAATATCCACTCACAGCTCAGTATTTCAATGTTATTTTTTCTTCGGCGTCGTCTATTGTCACGTAAAGTGCCTAGACGCAAAAAACAACATCAATTACATAAGTTTGCTCTACGCCATGTATTTGCATAATACCTGATGTGAAATACCGCAATCTGGATATATCTTTCGAACGAATCTGAGATTAGAAAAAATAAAGGAATCTCTTCAACGAGAACGAAAAACTAAGTAATCGTATGATTAATCGTAATAAAACGTATCAAATCGGAGCTGTTTTTCATTCCGAGAGGAAAATAATTTAATATGCGATCTTATCGAGATGCCTATTGTGTTGAACTTTAGACATTATAATAAAGAGATAGCGTTATTCGCTCGCACAATGTCGCCAACATGATTCAGAATTTGACGTCGTATTAGGGAAATAAACAGAATACTCCACTTAGTTCCACCATCTATAAGTTGTAGTCGGTCTAAAGGTACATTCAGGCTGAGAGCGTCGAGCGTCCCGTCGCGTTTGCGCTGCGTTTGCGTCGCGTTTGCGTCGCGTCCGCCCCATTGAACTCGAACCCCGACACTCAGCGGACGATAGCCAAACCAAACCAAACGCGACGCTGTCTGCCTGAACGGTCTAATTTAAGTTAAGTGAATTGATTCCATTTCGACATGCGGACGCGATTCAAACGCGACGCGACGCTCGACGCTCTCAGCTTGAATGTACCTTAACAAGACAATATTAGTATTAACAGTTGTAGATGTCCTAAGCAACTTTTTAGACGCCGTCTGTTAAAAACTACTAGTCTCACTGTACAAACCAGAAATATATCTCTAACTGCACATTTTTAACTCCACATCTTATATTCAGCACCAGTTGTAGTTCAGTCATTGGGGATCAAAATTCTGAATCATAATCCATAAAACGCACATTCCCAGACTTGCCGCCGGCGTCGCCATCTTGCCAAGATGGCGCCCAAAATCGGTATTTTGTAAATATGTCGAAAACTATGCTTTTTTGCAAAAATTTGAAGAGAGCAAAATTAAAGAGAATAGAAATTAAGATCAATGAAAATTTTCGCTAAAGTCAACCGTTTAGGCGCAAAATCCCTGGAAATTTTACAATTTTGCGTAAAGTAGGATATACATATAGTCGATTTTCCGAAATCAAATGTCGATTAGTGTTTACTAAAACTAGTTTTAGTTTAGTTTCTTCAATTTTGTCATGAAACAGTGGCGTATCATTAATTTGCTCATTAATTTATGAATAATTAAATGTCGTGCTGGACAGCATTCATTGCGAACTTACCACCAGTTTCAGCATTGGTCTAGTTGTACGTACCAAAGATGCCGAAGAATGGGGTTGGAAGAAAACAAAAACAAAAGAAAAAGAAGAAAACAAAAACAGGCATTACTCCAGTCACAACGTTGAAAGATTCAGCTCCAAAATCCCTATTGGCATTTTTATCCTGTAAATGCAAAACCAACAACTATTGTAAAACCCGCGGATGCAGAAAAGCAGGATTAAAATGTTCAATGATTTTCCCATTTTTTTGCAATGGGAAATTCTGTGATGTCACTGAAGTGTCACTCGACGAATCCGATGAAGAGGAGTTGGACTTGCCTGTAGATATCCCTCTGGCGGCTGAAGATGAAGAGTTGGACGTATGATTGAGACCACCTTGTGATGGAGTATGATGGAGACCACCTTGATGAGTCCAGCACAGCAGACACGATCGACTTTGATATCAATGGGCCAGATCCGTCGGGCTTGTGCAGATAAGTTAAAGTTTTTAATTTATCTAGTGGGGTAGGCCTCCGGGGAGACCACGTTAAAATAAACGCGCCATGTACTTTACCTCTTGGGTGGCAAAAACAAGTACACATTTTCAATAATTAAAATTAATTATTCATAAATTAATTTGCGAATTAATGATACGCCACGGTTTTATGACAAAATTGAAGAAACTAAACTAAAACTAGTTTTAGTGAACCCTAATCGACATTTGATTTCGGAAAATCGACTATACATAATCTACATATATAAAATGGTAATGTTTATCTGTGTCGTCTCTACTGAAGTAACGACTTGCTCTAGAAAGTTGCTTTTTTTACTAAAAGATAGCTAATTTGCTCTTCTAAAAACTGTCGTCGCCAGATTTTTTGTTTTTCATTTAAATAAAAAGTTTTTTTTTTCTGATGTCGTGGCGGATGCGCCAGGCTTCAACTAGTATATCATATTTTACGCAAAATTGTAAAATTTCCAGGGATTTTGTGCCTAAACGGTTGACTTTAGCGATGTGCATTTTATGGATTTTAGTTAGGGACCCCAAAACCTATAAACCTGCAAAGTTGCAAAACTTCCGGACTTTTTTCCAAGCAAAAATCCCCAAATGACTGAACTATTGGTCATCCTCGTTTTTGTAGAATGTAGAATGAGTAAGAGAGTGTGACTATTGTGTCCCTCTTTCTTGATTTATGTTCATCATAGATCTATAACTCATCATACATGGAGATCTTACTGTTGTAGGGAAGACAGGGTATTTCCCATCCTCCTCTACATACTACTACTACGACTACAAATGACTACAAATGTTCATTCTCTGCTTATCTGCATCTACCTCCTACGAGGGTATACACTCTTCCACAGTCACAGTCGAGGAGCTTTTCTCCAGCTGAGGTACTCGTGAGGTGGAGACTAGAGGATTTGCTTCTATTTTCTCCACCTCTTTAACTTAGTCTCTCTTTAGACCTAATACCGGTGTCCCGAATCTATAATAGAGGATATATCTCTCTTTCTGTATTGCTTCCTTGGATATGAGGTCAATTACACCGCAAGGGTTAGTCGGCCTCTTCTACAGAGCCCCGCATGTAGAAGTAAGGGAGACAAGAATACAATGGGCTGCCCCCTGGTACCCCAAGTTTGAGGCCAGTAGTAGAAGCTAGTCTTCTATCTAGCCACGCATCAGCTTGACCTGGTTTTTTAGTTGTTAAAAGTATAAAATAGCTTTTAATGTTGTTCTTTTGTGGTAATAAACTTCGTTAGTTGAATTAGACTTTTAATTATCCAATAAAAACGTAACAACACCATAAAAATTGATTGTTAAATAGTTCACGTATTTTGACACGTATACATTTAAAATACACACAATATGCGTGTAATTTGTATGTAAAATATTACGAATAGTTTAATTATATTATGTAACTTTATATTATTGATTTTAGAATTAAATGCATATCATGAGTGACTTATTACTTATTTTTCACCGTCTTCTCATGAGAACTACTTCAGTGTTTTAGGAATATGAATAAATTTCTTTTTTCTGATGAGGTGCATAATCTCACCAATAATATTCAACCCGTACTCTAAACACATCTTTAAGGAGGCACTACAAGACATAGCTGAAGGCATCTCGATATTTCGAACAATAGTGTTTGTCGATACCATCAAAAACCTGCGGAATTTGATGAACAGTTTAACAGAAACTATTAAGAAGTATGGACTCGACATAAATACAAATAAAACCAAATTCATGATTATCAACAAAAGAGTTAACTTGTACCAAGCCTCAAAACCAAGCAAGAATCGTGCGAGTCTCACATTACACTTACCTGGGCACTATGGTCAATGATTCGTGAGGCAAATCGCAAGAAATCAAGTGCAGAATTGGAAAAGCCAAAAGCGCATTCTTAAAAATTAAATTCTTACTCCTAAAATGTTATGTCTACTCGGTTCTCCTGTATGGCGTAGAGATCTGGACCCCAAAGGAGGACACCATATCAAAACTCCAAGCCTTCGATCTCTGGCTGTATAGGATAATCCTGAGAATACCGTGGAGGGACAAAGTCACAAACATCGAGGTCCTGAGGCGAATAAAAACAACCCCGAAGAGGTTGAAGGAAGGTATGAGCTGCTCCAGTGCATCCTCCAAGTCAAGATTTAGGGAAAACGACGTCCAGGACGCAGGAGAATTTACTGACTCGCGAACTGCAGATCCTGGTTCAGAAAGATGTCCACTCAGCTTTTCCGGATTGCCATCAAAAAATCGTTATAGCCAGAATGATCGCCAGCGTCCATAGCGGACAGGTTACTAGAAGAAGCTATTAAAAGTGGCCAGATTTACACTTTGTTTCAAATTTGTTAGATTCAACTAGCAAATATGAAATGAACATCTCCATTAAATTACTCTCATTATAACTCTTCATTGAACCAATATAAAATATCAGAGTATTTGACTTGTTAGATTATATAGTTTTTAGTGTGTTTTTTTTTTCACTAACTGGTTTGAGGTAATACAGGTTATAGTTAAATCTAATCCAGTATTATTGTAAATTAAAACTAAAAGAACTTCGGACTTCCATTTGCCTTTATTTATTTTGCTTACACAAAGTACTTATCACTGACCGTTATGAAGTGTGAACTGAAAAACTGACTTCGCACCAAACCACAATACGCCAAAACACTTTTTACTTTTACACTGGACGCGCGTTTCGCTAACCATGTTAGCATCAGCAGCAGATGATTAAAACTAAACTACAATCTACAATTTCAGCGTTTATATCGTTTATATACTCGCTCAGTGGGCACCGAGTGGGCGTGGCAAGATCTAGCCAACCGAGTCAGAGCCCACCGAGCGTAACAGTTAGATTTCCGCCACTAGAGTAGTAGGAACAAAGAACTTGAAGGAATTGGACCGTTGTCTCTGTTCATACTATCTTTACATTTATTAATTCTGATGTTTTCATATGCATCTAATTGCCTGTAATTTGAGACTTGTTTAATTAATTTTAAATTATTAAGATCTATACAATGTTCTTTATCAACAATATGTTCAGCAACGAAAGATTTATCCGGTCTACCATATCTTATCTGAGCTAAATGTTCTTTAAATCTAGTTAAAATTGATCTT